ATAGATACAAGATGTTAATTATTGGTACCGGTGGCCATCACCTACTTGTTACGCTTGGTCTGTTCCCGCTTTCGAGTTTCAGTCGACGTCGATCATCGCCGCTACCTTTTACACTTTTGCAGCACGAGCGACGTCGCGACCGAAAATAGCTACAAGAATCTCATCATGGTTTTGGCGTCCATTCTGCGGCGTTCATGCGAATGAATCGCCGCACGTCAAATTATTTACGGAAAGTTTAGCGGCGTAACGAGCCATGATAATTTCGCTCAGGCGATTAAAGTGGTAAGACACTGCGATGAGGACGTAGAATCGACAACCCCAACGCGGAAAAGAGTATGCAGACTCACACAGGACGCCGACAACGTGACATTCGAGTGGTTTGTTGACGCGGGACGCGGTGCTTCTTGCCCGTACTCCATTGCGCGTGGGTTCGAACTGTCGTCTGCTCTTTCAAACTTGACTGCTTTTTGTCGTCAGCTCGTTCAAACGACAGCGGCCCGTAAACCAAACGTTGACCCGGTAATTGCGATAAGAACTAAGTGCAGGCCTCAAAACACTTTTGAAGGTTGGTTGGGGTAAGTCGGCTAAGGTGTAAACAGATACAAGAAGTTGTTGATCATTGTTACCAGTGGCCATCAACGACTTGTAATGCCCGATTCTACTTGCGGTTTTCAGTATCGATGTCCACCATCTCGGCTACGGTCCACGCTTTTGCAGTCCGAGCGACGTCGCGACTGAAAATAGCGAGCAGAATCTCATCGTGGGAGTCAGGCTTTAGCGCCAATTCTGCGGCGTCCACGTGAAATGAATCGCCGCACGTCACATTATTCATGCAAAGTTTTGCCTCGATAGTTTTGCTGAAGCCGCTCAAGTAGTCAGACATTGTTAGGAGGACGTAGAATCAACAATTCCAACGCGAAAAAGAACACTGGGACTCCCACCGACGCCGACAACAACGCAATTCAATGGTTTGTTTATGGGCGACGGCGGGCTTCTTGCCCACCATCCACCGCGCATGCGCGGCGCCGATGGCGTCCGCTAGGGACGCTCCGGTTTGTTTGTAAACATGAGTTGGTGTATAGCTAGCTTCGTTTTCGTTTCCTGAGGGTTGGGCAAACAGACGCACCAGCGTACGGGCTTCCGCCTTTCTGTTTCGCCTCGCACGCCCCCAGGAAAACACCTGTTAGTGCAAATAAATAATATTATTATTATTATTATTATAAAAACATCAAATCCTTGAGCTCCAGTCGCAGCAACCCCCGTTCGATGCCTACACCATCACCAAATGGCGCCAGAACTTGCCCCGTAAAGAGCCCTAAAGTGCTAAGAGAGAAATGGCAGTGTGCTTCGTACTTGCCTTTGGGAAGGACTGGAGCGACTCTCGGAAAAACGACAGCCCACGGCGACGGCAGGCGACGGTCCTACGCTGCTGTTGAACAGCGGGCGCACCGGCGTACGTCGCGAACGTTCCATGACACCAGACACCCCTGGCACCGACACAACCGACACAGTCCGAGAGGAACGAACACCCGAACTCGGACAAAAGTAAATAAAACAAGAATTCTCGCCGTTCTTGCGCGGCCTGTCAAGGAAAACACGCGCAACGCCAGCCATTAAAATAGTGCATTGGATTGGATTGTCCCTCATCCCTAAATGGATAGTGCATAAACAAATTTATTCAATCGGGCGGTGCCTTGCGCCACCTAGCCACTGTTGCTCTGTGTGATAGGAGCGTTTCTTCGCAACATCTTCGCAACGTACGCGTTCCGTCACCGTGCGCCTCGCAGTTTAGCAAGTGCCCCAACTCGGTCTCACTCATACCCGCTTGATCGCTGCAGCGCAACGAGGTAGAGTAAAGTAAAGCACTGGCAGTAAAGCACTGGCCCTCCGGTGGCTTCAATCGCGGGAGGGCCATCTTGCTCGTAGCAAAATCGTGCTTTTGCTAGCACTGCAGAGGCTGGCGGCAGCGTGCTGAAGCCACTCGTTCGTCGTCATTCGCCGAAGATGTTTTTTTAAGACCCTGTGTAAGCGTTGAGAACACGTGGAAATTTTCACGAAAGTGCAGTGCCACAGAAAAAAGGCACAACTCGTCGATAGGAAGCTTCGCCAGTCTCGCGGCATGATCAAAGCTTCGTCGTAGTAACCCTGGAGGGGAGGCACTCACTTGATCGAATGACGTTTTAGCGAACGCCCAGGTTTCATAGAAATGACACTTTAGCGAATAGGCGGACGCCGCGCAGCGGCGTGTTCGGGCGGGCCAAATGGGTTCACATTTTTATAATAAGCCGCCGCAGACTGTCGCCGCGCGGCGGATGGGTTCACGCCCCCCCCCCCCCCCCCCCCCCCCTCGCGTTATTCGCTAAAACGTCATTCGCTCATGTAAAATGGACCCCGACGCTGTGTGTGTTTTGCAAGTGCAAAGCACTTCGGCGTGCCAAGGAACCTTTGCTCATACCGCACCACCGGAGAAACTTCCTTTCGACGAGTTGTACGCCGTTTTCCGCTCTTATCTGTTCTATTTATCATCAATCCCCACATACTGGGCAAATACCTGCCGACTGGAAAGTGGCAAATGTCACCCATTTTTAAAAGCGGTCAAAGGAATGCGTTTTACAACAACTACCTACAAATCTCTCCAATGAGCATTCCAAGCATACTAACAGAACATGTCTTATTTTCAAATATTATGGATCACTTGTCTGCGAAAAACCTCCTCTTTGTTAACCAGCACGGTTTCCGGCGGTCTCCTTCTCGTCATACCCAGCTTTTTGAATTTATAACCGACATACATAATAACTTTCACCGTAAAATGGAGACTCGTGCAATTTTTATTGACTTTCAGAAAGCCTTCGACAAAGTGCCTATCATCGACTTATGCTTTAACTGCGCACTTTTCGAGTAGAGCCATCTGCAATAGAATGGATTTCAAATTTTCCCTTCAACCACTCACGAAGTATATGTTATGATCAGAAATGTTTTTCACACCCGAAAGTAGAATCTGGAGTGCCACAAGGAAGCGTGCTGGGTCCACTGCTGTTTCTTTTCTATGTAAACGACCAGGTGACCGCTATGTATTCCACAATCTGTTTATACGCCGCTGACTCTGTGGTGTATAAAAAAATAATGTGTGTTGACAATTGTATCCAACTTTAAAAATTACTTTACTCTAGAAGAATGGTGTGGAATGTGGCAAATGCAAAATTCTTAAATTTTAGCAATAAGCGAAGCGCCACAGTGTTCAACTATACTCTCTTTGATGCACCTATTGAGTGCGTGCACATACAAATACTTTGGGGCTCATTTCACATCAAACATATACTGGGAGGCATATATCAATCATATCACTGCAAAGGCAAACCAAAGTCTTGGTCTTATAAGAAAAACATTACGCATGACCAATTGGGAAACAGTACTCGTAGCTTACATTGCCCTTGTTCGCCCGCAGCCAGAGCATGCATCTACAATATGGAACCCCCACCAGGCTTACCTAGTACAGAAATTAGAATAAGTACAAATTAGAGCCACTCGCTTCATCCTTAAAAACTATATGCATACTAGCATTACCACACTAAAAAAAAAAAACTCAGAATTCCGCTAGTAGCAGACAGAAGAAAATCTGCAAAACTAGTCTCCCTGCACGCTTTGTATTACCACAGCTCATCAAAGAGAGAGTTGTATTGCCCGCCTGCACATCACACTTCACGACGTACAGACCACTTTTAAAAACTTCATTTGACCAAACCATTTCACATTTTCGCCGCTTCAGTTATCCCTTTCAGATTGGAACTCACTTCCAGAAAATATTGTCAATATTCAGGAATCATCCGGTTTCAGAGCTGCACTTGCCACTTTTTTAAAACTTATCAACCTCACATTTTTGTGTTTTTCATTTCTTAAATATTTGTTGTGTATAAGCCCTGGGCTTAAGAGTATATTAAATGAAATGAAATTAAGCAGGCAAGGCTCAATTTTCAACATCTGCACAAAAGAAGCAAATGCAGGGGACGGGTAGACACGAGCGTCTTGTTGGCATTCAGTCAAGGCTCGGGTCCTTGCCGAACAAGTCTCGGCCGAAGGCTGACGTAGCACTCGCACTCGATCCGCGCCTCGCGTTTTCCTTTTTGGGCGAGGTCGAAACGCAAGCCATGCGGCCTCAGTACCTAGGCGGTTTTACCCAGCCCCACTTGGCATTTCACACAAAGACCACTCGGCGAGCTTTCTTTGGCATTTCATAGTTAGAAAAGTTCCGAGACAGACGTTGACGGAAGCAAGTCGTCGAGGACGACGCTCGTTGTTCCCGAGCCCTGCCACATCACCAGGTACCTTAATCGCAGTTAGCGGGAGCACGTGGCATCGGATACTCTGACGGCCTGGCGTGCAACAGCAGTGCATTTGTGTCGCTGCAGTTGCACACCTGGCCATTGGAAAGCTCGGACGGCACCCGATGTCACGCGCTTTCGTGTTACCGCCCACGACAATTAGAACAGTACCGTACTCCGTTTCACTTCAAGTTCGACTACAGCCGACGCAACGATTCAATGGAGCCCATAAAGCCGAGCCAAGAGCATGCCGTCGTGGCGCTTTTGCATGCTTGCCATCACCAACTAAATTAATCACACAGGGTGAACACGCTGGGATCCTGCGTTTTTTTTTTCTGCGTGCACTCGGTATAGCCAGGGGTCCATACCACACAAGCGAACGTTTTTGGCGAACAGCAGTCACCTGAGCGAATCGGCGTTTTAGTTAATAAATGGAATACGTTAATCCCTTCCCTTCCCCCCCCCCCCCCCCCCCCCCCCCCCCCCCCCCCCCCCCCCTCGTTTGCGTTCATGTCACTTTGTGGCGACAGTTTGCGGCGGCTTATTACAAAAACGTTAACCTCGACGCGGCCGACCATTCGCTAAAGCGTCTTTCGACGAACAGTCGGCGTTCGCTAAAACGTCGTTCGACAAACCGAGTGCCACCCGTTTAGGCAGTGAGAGCGAGCAGACAAGGGGGGCGACGAGAGCCGCGACGTCACACTTTTGGCTTTAGTGGATTGGTTTCCGCGAACCGTAGCGTCGGCCGCGGTGGCAACGGAGCACCACGACGGAGACACGGCCGCCTAAAGCGCGACCAGCGGTCCGGTGTCCGCAGTCGACACCCGCACGGCGACCGCGTCCAGCTCGTGCCGGAGCTTCTCGGCGAACAGCTCGAGGTAGCCTCGCTCCGAGTACGAGTGTTCGGTGAGCAGCACCGAGACGCCTCGCTGCTGGGCGTCCAGCACCTCGTGGTGGGACATCTCGCCCGTCAGGTACAGCTCCGCCCCGGCCACACCCTTGAGCACGCTGCCGCCGGAACCGGCGCACACGGCCACGGCCTGCACCGTCGATTCAGCCGTCCGCCCGGAACCCAGCGCTAGCCGCACGCTCGGCAGCTTGAGGTGCGCCTTGACGCGAGCCGCGGCCTCTCCGACGGTAACCGGCGCCCTCAGCCGTAGAAGGCGGCCCATTCCGGCGTCGGGGTCGACGGAGTCCTTCTCGACGGGCTCGGAGTCCGCCGCCCCGTCAAAGCACGACGCCAGCCAGTCGTTGACGCCCCCGCGGACGGCGTCCCACGACGTGTGCGGAGAGAACACGGCGATCTGGCGTTCGATGCAGCGCACGAGCAGGCGCTCCTTCCACGAGCTCTGCCGCAGCGCCTTGAGAGGCACGAAGATGGGAGGGTGGTAGGAGACGATGAGGTCTGCGCCGAGGCTCACGGCTTCGTCGACGACTTCGGGGACGAGGTCGTTGGTGAGGAGGACCGTCCTGACGCGGCACGAACTCGGCTCGACGAGAAGGCCCACGTTGTCCCAGGGAGCGGCCAGGCGTAGCGGCGCCATGCGCTCGAGGGTCTTTAGGACGCCGCAGAGGTCCATGCTCGAGAGCCGGTGACAGAGTCGTGATACGGGCTGGCGAACTAGAAGAGACGTGTGCAAGGCGAGCCGGCGGAGCTCAAGAACTCGCATTAACCTCGTTAAATTCGTCAGCTCGAGATATGCACCAAGACCAAAATATTATCGAAACAAAAACAGACACCAAACAAACCGGCGAAGGCCGCCATTTACGGCTTGGTCTGGATTGGATTTTTTTGACTCGAAACCATAAAGCCTGTACCGTTTTCGAAGTTTTCGACATATCTGGCGGATTCTGTCGCCCTTTTCGTACGATCGCTCGAGCGCGTTTACAAATCTGCCAAAATTTCGTCGGATGCCAATGTGCAAAAATTGCTTCATCGCGTATTTTGTTGTATTTTTGCGGACATCGTGTATTTTTGTCATGCAGTGTCATAGCCTCCAAAGGAGCTAGGAAATAGAATTCGGAGAACACCGAAACCTTTCGTACGAAATCTGCTTTGAAGGTCTCCATATATTTAGAAACGGCAGCGAGCAGTTTGCCAACAGAGCTGCTTCGTCAGCACCATTCAAGTTCGCAAGCGCGTAGACGTAGTCTTTTTCTAGTGCGATGTATTAAAAGTACAAAAAGTACACCAGCTCGCTTGCGATCTTACATTCCGTACGAAAAGTGCCTGCGTAAATTAAATTCCCAAAGCATTGAAAAAAAAAAATAATAATAATAATAATAAGAATAAGAAAGAATCTTGCGTAACGGGTAATTGACATCCACCACTCCCCTGAAAACGCACCAAGAGTGTATCCCTTTACCAAACAGATGTTTCCCTGCTCGGTTTTATTTTTCAGTCTCATTCAATGGCGCCGTTTTCGTTTCTCCACTTTGAGCGCATTTGATAGGGTCCACAATCAAAAGCGCGGCGACATTGAGGTTTAATAGTTGTAGCTTGTTCGACGCACTAAAGCAACACGTGGCAACTAACCGCGTAGGTGTACCCTCGGTTACAATTCAATGCACAGAAGCAGATGTTAGCAGACGACAAGCGCGTCACAAAAGGCGACGAAGCTCGCAAACCTTTACGCGCCCGTAGCCTGGCGGTGGATAAGTAAACGAAAGCTCAGCCCGTAACTTTGAGCGTTGCTGCATTGCAGCTTCGCCACTTTCTCACAAAACGTAAGGCAAACCAATTTTACTGCGCTACTTGTGCGGAACTCTGCGTATTTATTTATCGTTTGGAAAAAATACAAGTAAAGCAAGCCGCTGAAAACGCAGCGAGCAAATTGGAGGAGCGGTTCACGCTTCGTACACCAGGAGCGCGACGGCTGGTGGAATATCGGTCACTCCGTCCGTGTTATCACATCGCCGGCCTCGGAAGAGAAAGCGGTTCCGCCGACGGAGGTGGTCTCGAGGGAGCACGTTTCTGGCGCTAAGTTATCAACGCGGTAATTTTCCAGGTACGGAAGAAAAAACAAAAACAGCAAAAGTCCCGTATTCGTCTTGCCTCTCCATCTTCGCAAGACATCATCCGCGAGGTAAGATCGATCATCTCTTCTATAGTTTCCCTCTCAACCTTGACCGACCAAGAATCAATACATTACTTGCAGCACGCAGTGTTCATTCCTTGTACTAAAGTATAATTTCCCCTAGTCAAAATGGCTATTCGGAAGAATATCCGAACATTACGCGCGGGTTGGGGCTCGAGGCGAGGTACGTTATTGTAATAAAAACCGAGGAGTGCTGACCTATATATATTTTAGTCGAGTCTTCCTTCCCGCGCGTATGTATCCGTTGAGAATAACGTTGCCCACTGTCTCACCGCGACAATGAGTACAGCTAATCGAAGTCGTTCATCGGCTTCGATTCAAATTTTACGAAGCCGTTCATCGGCTTCGTAGGATTAGATAACTTCTCGAAGGAAGAGAGCATACGCGGAAAACGACCAGTTTCTATAAATGTTTTTTTTTTTTTTTTCGCTTTTTTTTTTTTTTTTTCCTCTCTTTCTTTTCTTTTGGAAAAGGCCCAAGTTCGAAAGGTGTTTCTTGGATTCGCTCGGAAGATGCAGCGAAGGATGACCCCCCCGCGCATGTTGCGGCACCAACAAAAACTCGGCCATTTTTTTATTCAATCCGTCCGGGTCGGCTTTTGTTTTTTAGTTGCTGCTCGGCACTTTCGCGCACCCTCCTTTCCACCGGGGGAAGAGGAGAAAGTGAAGGCGAGGGGAGACAAAAAAAAAGAAATAAAACAAACACAATGGCAGCTCGTTCTCCTCGCGCACCTCTCCCACATCGACTGTGGAAAATTTCCGCGCACCGTCGTGCTCGCCACCTGTCGGTAGCGACGGCAACCACAGATGCGCTTCGCTGGCGTCGTCTGCTCGAGCGCCGCGCGTCTCGAGCCAATATTGCTCAAGCAGACGACGCGCAGGAACTCTTTCTTTTTTTTTTTTTTTTTTCTCTCTCTTTTTTTAGCGCCTGCATTTGCGGTTAAACGCATTGTTTTCAGATGCATTTGCCTGCATTATAGGAGAGTCGATCATTGTACAGCTTGTCCTCAAAACAATGTTTTATTGTAAAATTAAATTGCACATTCCGCCCAAACATGGCGCAAGCGGTCCGGGAGTTTTCGTAGACCGTTTTCGCCGTCCCGCAATGCTCTCCGCAACTTGCTACGATACCCGGAACTCTGCAGTACAGGCTATCGGCGCGAACGCGCCGTAGCGGCTTCTTCGTTGCGGAGGGCTTAGCGGAGGGGAAAACGCGGTCTACGAAAACCTCGAGGGTTTCACAACTAGCCGTTATCTTATTCAAAAGTGATTTTGTGAAAGTTTCATCGGGTAAATGGGGCCCATTCCTGAGGCTGTCGCCATACATCGCCATGAATTTGTGGCTTCTTCGGCCGTCATTTTCCCACTGGCAATTTACCGAAATTGCTTACAACTTTTGAATTCGGTAGCAGCAAACTTTGAAAGTTTGGCGTCTCGTCCGGCCCACTAGCGCTACATTTTGCGGAGACGACAATGCGCAAATATATAAATTTTTTAAACAATTTTTAGGGGACATTTTGTATTTTCAGTGCAGACGCACATCTCTGAGTGGCTAAACATGGAAGGTACCTCAAAGCATCGACACTGTCTTGAGGCCTCCTTACAAAAAGTGCCATTGCCTGCGTCTTGTTGCTGTTACTGGGACGATCGCTTCGAGACGAGGGAAGGGTGAACATGAAGGGAGAAAGAAACGGATAAGCACGCGCAACGTTGGAGACGCCATCTTCCCTTAGACCCTGGAGCAAAACTAACGAAGATGGAAAGATTTGTAGGCTGTGCAGGATACATACGGGCGGTTTTATTTGAAACCAAACACGCGTGTCAGGGTGGATATTTTTAATTGCCTAAAAGCTGTATATATTATAGCGCCATGAACAAAACATTTTAATTTTATTTTTCTTCTAAAAAAATATGTGAAAGTTGAATGCTACATATTTAGGCTGTTTGATTTTTGTACCCAGTTCTGGCAGTTGTTATAAATAGGTAAAAACGAAAAAAAACACAAAAAAAACTCGCTGTAAGTTCTTTTTGTAAATGTGTGACGCATGGCCTATCTCTCTCTCTCTCTTTTTTTTTTAGACTAAACTATTATGGCATATTTCAAACCAGAACCAAAAATTTTTCAAGATATTCCAAACATTGCATTTTTGACGTCTTGGTGACATATTTGGAGCCTTGTATCGTAGGATTCATCTAACATTTTGCTTATTAAATGCTATACGCATGTGGGCTTATACGTATCCTATCGAGTGGTACCGTTTTAGTTTCATATATTTTCACGAAATAATTTATATACATTTTTAAATTTTGTGAAAATTAATTCACTAACCATAGTTTGAACCCTGCTTATTTAAAAAAAAGACAATTCTTTTTTTATTACTTCTTTTTTTCTCTCCATACTGTTAACTTTCTGTGGGCATAATCAAAGTTGTCCCTGTTTTCGTTATATTACGTCAGGACTAGACGAGGTGATAGGTACTAGACCTTCTTATGTAATCCACCGGTAAATCGAGGATGGCTTTCTTGTATTCTGTTGAGCCTCTGGGTGGGGCCCACTCGTCTAGCGTCCTCAGTCTTTCTTTTTTTTTTTTTTTAATGGTGGTGGAGAGGAGGAAGAGGATACGTAAAATACCCCCTGGGAAAAAAAAATGCCTGCCCCTACCTTTCCGCCGTGCTGACGTTACTGGCAATGCACACTTATATTATTATTTTTATTATTATTATTAAGTTTGAGCACTTGAGTTGCAGTGCATATTGGTGTTTTTCTCGGTTTAATACACAATACTTTTTAGCCCTCATATTGTTTGTGTTCTTAGGTTTGTCCTGTTATTTTCCTCCCGAAAAGTGCACCGACTTAGTCCTAACAATTAAAAAAAGGAAGTATTTTCAAACGGCAGACGTAGTGTTGTCGCTGGCATTCCAGTACCCCAGCTGCTCCATCTTTTTACACTCGAGCTTACCTGTGTCCAGTTGTAACAGTGACTGACGTTGATGTGTTTGGTAAGGTCTCCAAAAAGCAAATATGTCAGAATTTACGTTTTCTCATTATGATTCACCTCAAATGGACCTGCAAAATCAACTTTGTAAAAAAAAAAAAAAAAACTTATGGAGATTGGTCTTTGCTTTGCAATTTCATCTTTGAACGAGTACGAAAACAATGACAGAAATTGGTACAGCACATGTACCGCAATATCCCGAGAGACAGCCCACCTATAAGCGAAAGCAAATCGGGTGCGGAAAACTAACTTTTAATGTGCGACCAAAAAAAAAAAAAAAATCCTAGTTTTACGTTAGGTGGCCTGCGAAACTTGTGATTGCAGGGAGGGGCGATGATGAACCAGACGACTGTCTTTCCCAGTCAGCAATGTTCGCTTATTTCCCGTCGTGGCTAAGTAACACCATTTGTGCCGATGTCACCATTGGCCTTGCAATTACTAGAAGTGGGCTATCTTTCGGTGTTTCGGAAAAAAATAGGCAATCCTGCCAAAAATAGATCTGGGTTATCTTTCGGGATATTCCGGCAGGTTAAGACACACAAGGTGTTCTTTGAGTCGAGCTTAATCCATTCTAGACGGAGTGAATAAAATGGTGAACTCTTCTTTTTGGCTATCAGAAACATAAAGTATGTCTTCCAAATAGACCTTATCACATATATTGATTTTCTTCTTGCAATCAGTATTTACTTCCTCTGCATGTTTCATGGTTGGTATTTGAATAGAACAAATAAGCTGGGAAGTCTAAGCGGTTATGTTATGTCTAAAAAAACAATTATATATATATATATATATATATATATATATATTGTTTTTTTAATAATTTGTTTAATAAACCCAAATACCATGACGGTTATTTCTACATTACTATTTTTGGTAACACTGCATATTCTATCAAAATGCACTTAAGTGCGATAGAGAAGCGACATCACCGTTATCATTTCGCAATCGGTGAAGAGCTATCCGGTCTGAATTGTTTTCATATCTGGACATATACGACAGACGAGGCCAACGCGCACTATGCATTCTCAAACTCGGGAAGCAGACGATGCAGCTAGGCCTGCGTTCGTCGGCAGTTACCTGGATAGAAGTAGAGTCAAATTAAGACGTCGGTATCATTACGTAACGCAAAGAAGATACGGATCCATGGAAGTGAGGATAGCGTCCGCTTCAATTGAATCAAACGTGTTTTCAGGAAAGTGCTGAAGACGCTGTCGAACGCCGGCATGCGTCGCGCACGAGGCCAGGTGCCTGGAAGCACCGTCGATTCGTCGTAAAGGTTCACCTTTAAAAATAATAATAATAATAATAATAATAATAATAATAATAATAATAATAATTTCCCAGCAACATCAAGTACTTTTTTTTATTTTTATGTTGAACAGATGAGGAATTTCCGGGCATCGCTGCCCACATTGCTTTTTATGGCTCTCGATATGGTTTTTCTGCGTAAACGGGAGATTTTGTCATTTCATTAAAACGTAACAAAACGAGCCTTTGAAAATTTAATACAAGCTATCCAATTATTAGTGTTTAAGAGGAAAGAGGAAAAAAGTCCTGTAGCTAACACCCAAATTCAAGTTGACAATATTTTTTTTTATTCCATTTGGAGCTTCTAGCACAACTGAACCCGAAATGGCGTTTTTCAATGTTTGCAATTTAATTTAAGATAGCGCATATTTTTAAGTAATTAGGACCACACCTAGATTGATGTGGTACGTATCCGTGTTTTTACAATGTTTTTCTCAACTACATAGGTTTTATACAAAATCCAGAAATCCAGAGCATGACATCAGCAGAAATACAAACTTTTTTTCCGCAAAAAAAAAAAAAAAAAAAAAAAAAAAAAAATTTGGGAGTTTAGAGGCTTGCTTATCCCAATTATTCTTTTTTTTTTTTTCGTACATATCCCAAAACATGTAAAAAAATTGCCACGTCTCGTTTGGCATGGAATGACTCAGCAGAAAAATTCAAACGCAGTGAGAGATAAAGAAATAATATATATGCAAACTGATACAAGCAAAAAATATGCAGACAGACTCAAGTGGTCTGCTCTAACACCGTAATAAATCGCCTGGCCAAAAAAAAAAAAAAGAAAAGTAAAACAAAGCTTTTGGGGGATATCCAGGGTCCCTAATAAGAAGTGAGCTTAAAAGGATACTGAACCGAAATTTCGAACTTACAAAACAAGGCTGGACAGATAGGCGGGACGATGCAAAACCCAAAAACATCACTTATACAGCGATATCTCTAACGGATCGCCATATTTTTAGAAAAGAAGCGCCCGACTAAACCCGGCCGACGAGGCCGACAAGGCAAGGCACGTCACGATTCTTATTCCCTCTCCTCCTCACTACGTCCCGTGTCGAGCTGGTGAACCGAAGCGAGGAGGAGAGAAGCGAGGCCGCTCCCCCTCATTCTCAAATTCTCCCGGAGGACAGTGATGTCAGAGGCCTCGCTTGATCGCGCCCTTCTTTTCGAAACGTGCGGTCATCCGTTTGAGATATCGATGTACGAGCAATGTTTCGGAGTTCGTAGAGTCCCGTTCAACGCTTCTAGAGCCTTATTTTGCGAAATTCAAATTTCGATTCAGTATTCCTTTAACAAGACCATTAGACTAGCGAGCTTTTACAAACGCTTTTCATGCTTTAAAGTGCCTGTGACGACGGGACGCGGCTACATGGTCCGTTCTATCTCTCCGCCAGGCAGAGGATGTTCTCGCCACTGCACAGCGCCGCCCAGGCCGGCCGACCGGACTTTCTGCTCCGCTCCCTGCAGACAGGCGCCGATCCCAATCTACAGGTACTCTAGCAAGACTTGTTGCTAAGCTCAACTACTCGGTGAACTCGTATGCACAAATACCGAGAACTAACACGAGCGCTTGCCAGTCTCCACTCCTTCGTGTCTGTCCTCTGGGTTTGTGCATGCGCACTACAGGTACTCCGCTCACCGGCGGTGGTTCGGATGGAACCACTGCCGGTGAGCAGTGGTTCCTCGAAAGGAACGCTCAACTACTCCCAAACGACCTTTTTTTTCTTTTTGGCCGGTTCCATTTTCGGTGTTCGTGCGTATGGCGCGTGATTTGCTCCCTCTCCGAAGCGACGAACATGTGCGTGCTGGGCTGAGGACTTGCAAACATTGGAATGGTCTATATCCAGGCATTAAAAGAAAAACCCTGAGAATACTAGGCCGCGAGATGCATGTTTCGAAACCAACATTGAATTCTATTCCGAGATAGTTAGTTTCGGTTACAAAATGCGTTCCGTAACAAAAAAAAAAAAAATTGTTTTAGTTCTTACTTTTCGACACCCTTTACATACAGGAGTATTGTTAAAGAGTACATAAGACGTTATATCACTAAAAAAAGACGTAGGTTTAATAAGAAAAAAAGGTGGACAACTTTGAATTGGAAGTATATCATTGACGTATTTTGACAAACATGACCTGCTCAAACATTAAACAAAAAAGAGTGCAATATATTTTTTTAGAGTGCAGCTCTTAGGCGCCCGTTTCTGGCTTGAGCGGCGTCGCCGTAACCGCGCGGTGCATTATGGGACGCGTGACGTCACTCATGACATCATTGGCATCCGCATCGTCACTGATGACGTCATTGGCATTGTCACTAATGACGTCACTATTGACGATGACGTCATTAGTGACGTCACTGATGACGTCAGCGTCACGTGACCTCATAGGAGTCACGTGACCCTCATGAGGCGACGGCGACGCCGCTCGGAGGGAAGAGTAGCAGACAGGATGAGGGGGTGAGGAGGAGGGAGGAAGGATATACCTTCCCCTCAGTACCCCTCTCCTCCTCAAGAGCTGTGCTCTAATTTGCGTTACAGGGCTTTCATTTTTTTTTTCTTAGTTTATCATCTTTGTTTTAGGCATAAAAACAACTAAAAATAATTTTCCGACAAAACTGGTAATTCAGAATACATGTCCTGTCCAGGCATTAAAAAGAAAAAAAAAACCAGTGCGATGTGTATTTCGTGTAACACAATATATATATTTTTTTTTTATAACAGCGAAAGCACGATTGATTTATATTGTGGGACATCAATTTCAAAATGAAGTTAGTTTTGGCTTAAAAGTGTGCTAACACAATTTTTTTTTGTGAAAAATAATTTTTTGGCATACCTAGCCGGATTCATTATGTGTAATCATAAATTATGAGCTTCAGTAGACGGAGCAAAGCAGTTGCACCCAAAACGGTTTTGACATTTGCAGCAAATTCAGCTTTCCCTTGGATGCAGTGCAGAAACGGGTTTTGAGAGGGGTGTCTCTTGCAGGACGCAGATGGCGAGAGTCCTTTGCACAAGGCGGCCCGAGCTGGCAACATTGAATGCCTGCAGATGCTGCTCACTGCAGGCGGAAATCCAAGGTGAGCCACACTACCTACGAGCGCAAGCTAGTTATGTCCCGAATGTTTTCGGTCACTGCCTGCTTTTAACTATTAGCATGATGCAAGTTTATTTCATAGCGATCAAAAGAAAAAAATAATGATATTAAAGATATACAAATAGTCACAAGCTAGTGTCTAAAAGCTGCTCTTTAAAAAACATTTAGTCTTTTTTTTTTTTTTTTCTTGCCACGAAAATAAGCTATGCATCACCGAACCATCAATTTTTGCCCAAGTGTGGTGCTAGCAGTTGGGATCTGATGCCAATTGAAGTGTCAGAGCTTGCCATTATCCGACTTAAAAAGCAACATTTTGTAGCGTGAGCAACACTGGCTGAGGTTAAACAGTTTCGCGTGGCTCCCAGAGAGCCGTGCAGCGCATGCAGGAGGGGCAGTGACATCACACGGCACACAGCTGGCGCGCCAAAGCATTTGGCCGGAGCCGCCGCGCGCGCCTCGCCAGTCAGCGCATGCTTGAGGAGCAGTGACGTCACACGGCGCACAGCTGGCGTGCCAGAGCCGTTGCCGCACGCGCCTCACCGGTCTGCGCATTCCAGAGGAGTGACGTCATAGCCGCGGCAGACGCACTGGCGTCGCCGTGTGCCCAACTGTGCGCCTCCGCTGCGCAGTAGCCAAGTCTGACGCTGCATTGGAGCCGCTTGATAGCGCCTCTCATTTTGCACGCATGCGCAGAGGTATCAGTGGGGGTATACATGTAGCAGGGCGTTTGCCAGTGTGGTATAGCCATGGAGAAGGAGAACGAAATTGCTGCCGTCATATAATGCGTATACCGTGTGTGTGTGTCATTGAAGCAGCAGTAAGCATGATAATCAAGCTAATCCTAGACAACCAGGAAAGCTAAGAATAACCAGCTGAACCTAAGCTCACGCTACGTATATCCTGGCATAGCCGAGCAAAGGCACCGCAATTTTTTAGGGTAGGGTTAGTTGGGAAACTCCCGGGAGGCGGCGGATCCATTTTGTAGCACTTCTGAGAGGCGGCGCTGGCGTCCTGTTGCGATTCGAGTGCGCGTCCTGCGGTCACGGTATCACCCAGGCGCGCGATTAAAAGCATGCTTCAAAGGATCCGATAGGGCAGTACGCGGAACATGGTAACGATTTGCTAAAAGTGCCCATTGTTCCTTATCAGTGACCTACTCTACTAACCGGACGCTCGAGCACAAAAATTTGTTATATGACCGATGCTTTCAGGCGTACCCCAGAAAAAAAGAGCTAAAACCACGGATAGGTGCACATTGTGGCGAGAAAACATTAGGTTTGTGCGATTTACTTGCACCTCTTGCACCGGTGCTGAAAAGTGTGGGGCAGTGTACTTCCGGTATGTGTATCGAGATACAACCGGAAGGACACCGCCCTACATTTTCTTTGCACCGGTGCTGGAGGTGCAAGTAAATCGAACGAGCCTATTGCATAATACTGTACTAGCATTTTACTGTTTGCTTTTGTGCGCACATTCTCTTTAAATACACCTCGTTCAGCGGCAATTATTTGCTTTACTTGGCCGCGTGCAGACGCCTTTCAGAGCAGGAGGCTAGCAGACGACGCGCAAGGGACCGATCCTATCGGAACCGCAGCGCCACCGCTTTACCCAGTATTTCCTGCGGGGCACACTCCGTTGCCATGGCGCGCCTGCACTCCTTCCCAACTGACCCTAATCTAAAAACATTGTTGAAAGCTACAAACAATTTTTGGAAAATTTCAAAGAGAAAATGGAGCCTGTTCCCAGTAACTCCATGTATTCATAGGTTTCGTTTGCTCCCATATTCTCATTGAAAATTTCCAAAAATTACCTGCAATATAGGAAAGCTCTGAAACTTTGGCGTCTGCAGGCTCTGCAACCGCTGGGGCCAGACGTCCGGCCAGCTGGCCCTGTGCCTGGGCCAGCTGTCTGCTGCCACCCTGCTCAACTCAGCCCACCAGCTCGGGGTCGAACCACCCCAGGCCCACAGGGCGCCCATCCTCTCGAGCCGCAAGAGGTGCCACGCCGGATTCCGCTGCGCCCAGGAGGCCAAGAGGTGCCGCATTGCCGGTGAGGCCCCTAGGATACCTTATTTTCTGGTCTATGGTTTGCATTGCCGATTTTGATAGGCGCAACTTGTGCGCAACTTCGCACTGCTGGCGGCTGAATTCTTGCCTTCTCCCACCGTCTTTTTTGTGTTTCGAGGTGTACTTGTTTTTTCCGAGGACATTGAAAAAGGATTGTACCACTTTTGTACATGTGCTACAGAACGAATGTGACTGGAACGTTTGTTTTATATTGCGACGAGTTTTGATGGCGCCGCCCGCTCAGCCGCGTCAGTCGACAAAGTGCTTAGTCGTCGAAAATAATTTACGACAGAAGATGGCCGAAAGGCTTGCATATTCTCCGTGCACAAATGACGCGACTACCGGAATTACATGACACGGACATGACATTCAGTGAGCATCAACATTCTAATATTAAATTGTACGTACCACACAGTGCAGCATTATCCGAGTGGGTTTATTTGAGAAGGAACTCAAACAACGCAGCAAATCCTGTCCACACTGTCAACGACAGTCACTTCTCGGCGATAGGGCAGAATCGAAGAGGACTTCGTTTTAAAACACGTTTCGAAAAGCATTTTTTTTTTTTTTTTTTTTTTTTTAGCACAGAGGCAAGGGAACGAATGCGATTGGTCCATTCTCCACTCCAACCCCAACACCTATTTTTGGCAAAGGAGGATAAAGACTTTCTGGGGATTATCTCTGGAAGTGGGGAGAACAATTGTCATTCTTCGTTAAATCGCACCTCTTTTCTTCCTTCGTTTCCCGTGAATGCCGAGCAGAAACGCTTGAATGGCAGGCACTTGGGCTGCTAACCCTAATTCAAACGTTTTCTTTATTAGATGGTCTGCACTAGGGCCGTACCCAGAAAAAAATTTCGGGGGGGGGGGTTTCGGGGACAACGGCGGCCATTTTGAAAATGTCTATTGTCTTATTTTCGCCTATGAATCATGTGTATCGGTGGCATATAATGGAGAGTTATAGGAGAACCGGTACCGGTTTGGTACCCGGTAGTCAACTGCGCCACTGCGCGTTCGCAGAGGTGGAGATTAAAATCTGGCTGCAAGTGCACCGACCAGGGCCGTACCCAGAAAAACATTTCGGGAAAAGTCAGAACCCCCTAACCCGTCCCCCCCCCCCCCCCCCCCCCCCCTGGTAACGGCCCTGGTTTGCACCTGGTGCAAAGTCCATGCATAAAGAGCTTCTAATACAAAGTACACCTTAAAAGAAATGTCCGCTTCAGTAGCTTACAAAGAAGCTTATATCGCACTTAAGTAGGGTTCTGCGTTGTCGGATAAATCTAAAAAAATTTAATAAACACTTGCCGGTAGATTTTTCGTCAATTCTGATTAGGGTTGTTACCTGCCCGGTTCTTGACCAGCACGGTCGGTTTTTCGGATAAAAGGCTGGTTGCTGGTCTGTATCTAAAACCGGCTGTCATTTGCCGGTTTTTCCAACTCCCTTAGCAGAATTTTCTGTCTTATTTTTTTTTTTCCTTGCGGGGGAGGAAGGCATTTTTAATTACAGCATATACCATCAACGTTATTGGGCATATGGGCATATGCATTGTCTATTTTTAAGCTAATTTCGTATAAAATGGCCTGGTCTCTGAAATTGTTTACTTGGCCGCAAAGACGCAATTTTTGGTAAAAAGCTCGCATGTTTATGATTCAGTGTGGCACGTAGAGTCTGCGATTTACCGAAAGGGATCAGAGAGTGGCGAGCAAGACATCACTTTGGGTTCGAGGGCACAATCCTTTTGCAATTCAAGATGTATGCAAACATGCTCGCATTACATGAATTAACAAGTGACCATGAACTTTCAAGCCATAGGCTCGTGCCTGTGCTTGTGATCTAAAACCGCGTTCACTACCAAAACGTCCAGAACCAGCAATTTTTTAAAACAATAAATTTACGTTCGAAATCTGCTCGCCGAGTATCATGCTCAGTGTCTTGGGGCCATTTTTACTTGAAGCGGCATTTCATTCGCAGCCATTTTTATGTAAACAGCAATGATCGGTTCTCCACCTGCTACACAGGATGAGTGTGCAAGATTTGATTTTGAAGGTTTAATTTTAAATAAATGGTACACATTTATGTATGTTATTGAGTTCACTATTGTGTACATACTTACATGCGCTATTAATAGATCTTTGTTCATGGATTTCACTTTGGAAAACTCATGTCAAAGTAAACTGCATCTCTGTATCAATTAAGGCTGTCAACCCTGCGTCTTTCTTTTTACCAGTTCAATCTCCAATATCTCCCCCCCCCCTCCCCCTACACAACCTAAGGAGAGAGCTGCCTTTTTACGAATTTTGAGCGATGGGCTAATCTTCAAGGGGGACAGAAGCAACATCTAGAAGAGACAAAAGAGGGTCCGAATAAGCGGGGAGTTTCTTGTTCCCCCTTGCTCAACTGCTTGATTATGCTCTTGCCCCTGTGCCCTCCTTATGGGCTGTCACATGCTTTGGCTCAGTCGCGCTGATTGACTCGAGAGGCCGTAGGGTGCTCTTCACCAAGTTATGTTGAAACGAATAATAGTAGGCGACGTGTTTGCGAAATCCGCCAGCACATCCTCCGACCGAAGCTCAGCACCGTGAAGTTCGTCGTACCCTTTGTACAAGGAGCAGACGAATTTGCTTGCCATATAGTCGGTGCAAGAGCGACGGAGCTTTTGTGGCTGTTTCGTTGCATCGGCGACGACGGCCGTTCTTCGGCGCATTGCAGTCGGCGCAGCGACCCCAGGCCGATTACTCACCGTGCCCAATGTTGCCCGCAGACGATGAGGCCATGAGCGAGGACTGCCTTCTGGACTGCAAGCCCGTGCCTCTGCTCCACGGCGAGGAGACGCTGCTCCACCGGGTGGAGCAGGGCTACAACCGAGTCTTCATCGAGAGCTGGCTCAGCGAGGTGCACGGCTGCTGAAGGATTCAGCGGAGGTGCAGGGTCGCTGAAGAATTCAGCGGTGGTGCATGGCTGCTGTTGGCGCACACTTTGTACATAATGACTACGGGGCGGTCTTACAAATCAAATAAATGTTGCTGTTATCTATTGGTTACGTTATACACACTGCCTCTAGTCTGTTTTCTGTTACCTGTATATGCCTACCAGACTTGCTAGTGTCCATTCCTGAAATTCTTCTCAGAGGTGCCCAAGAGAGGGGAAAATTGGAGCTTTCGCAGGATATTGCAGCAATTCTATCTCTGGCACTTACTTCTACTTAGAATCTGATCTTGTTTTTGCATTTACAAATTTAGGGGACCACCATTCTTCAGTGACTTGCCCGGCGCTGGCACCACATAATGTCGACTGTCGTAGGATATTTATATTGTATTTATAATTGAAGAAAATGAAATTAGGAGAGGACTTACATCCACAAGGTCAAGACTACTTTGATCGACCGTAAGAGTACATTAGTCAAACCCCATTATAACAGCAGCCGTGAAAAGTGCCAAGGCCATTGAAAGATTGCGATTCTTGTAAACAAACTGTAGCAGTCCCACTTGCAACTAGCAAGGGTCGGGAAGCAGATGTTCTGGCCTTCAACCGACTTCAAATTTGCCTTACCAGCGAATGTTGATCGGTGATTAAGCCGGCAGCCAAGCCATGTTTCTATTGCTCATCTTAAAATATCAGATTGCAATAGAAAGCAAGTCGGCACTATACGCCATCTTGCCTGCGAAGCCATTTTTCTGCGCAACGTTTCTCATTTTGACTTTACAATTAATCTTTTGGCGACAACAAACATTAGAGGCTTCCCTCAAACCAGCTACTCGGTATTATAAATAAACTACAAACTTCACAGTTCAAGAAAATGGTGTTCCACAATTCAACGAGACTCGCACGACTGCATTAAGCTTTCACCGTAAGTACCGTGCAGTGCTACCCAAGAAAAGAACTAGTTTCAAAACAAGTTAACACAGACACACGATGGCCATAAGCAACCGCTTGAAGACTACAGAACTCATCTTCAGTACTGTGTCGAAGGCATCCCAAAAAAGAGCATCTATACTTTGTGCTCGTGTATTTCAATATTTATTGAAAGTTTTGAACATCTGCACACTCCTACATGTATGTTCAAACAGAGAAAAAAGAGGCGACGATAGGGCGTGCACATGAACCAGCCTGCGGCAACCTCGGAGTTCCGCAGCACTTGCTACTATAGACGTCGCAGTGTTTGTATAAACCAGTGAAAGCTCACTAATCTCACTCGAACATGTAGCAAACAAGCTTTCCTTCTTGCACTAAGTGGCTTCGATTCAAACCCAGGCCAACAAGTATGGTCACATCAGCTCTGTTGTCTGCATCACGAACCAATCCGATGGCTCGCCGACCAGAAAAATTGGAAATGAAAGCAATGACAGCGGCAAGGGATCTGCTACAAACATGTCGGACAAAATAGGAAAACGAGCCCTTCGTTTTATCGGCATTCAGTTCCAGTCAAATGCAGCTAGGCTAAATATATGGGCAAATGAGTCTGCTGCCATCGGTTTTTTTTAAGCTTTATTAATTTACGTAATGTTTCGCCTTCTGAGGCTGCAACAAATAGTTTTTAGGAGCAAAAAAAAAAGTGTGTCCAGCACAAAAGTAACGACTGGCCCATTGTTGCATTTTGCAACAATGGGCTGCAAATCTTGCACACCAATCCACAGCTCTAAACTTTAGTCACAAACTGAATTTGAAAACCGAGGCAGCACAATTAAATCGAGTAGAAAACGCAGCAATCACAAAACCGGTCGGGAAAGACAACCCTATTCTTTGCACAGCCACGGACCCGCACTAAACTAACCTGAACATTAAAAGCATCAGCAAAAGCTTGAGTCGAGAGTTCCAGCCGTTTGCGGTAGGGCGGTCGTGTCGGCACAGCGAAGGACACTTCAAAAACGCAGGCATGGTGGAATGCAAACAGAAGACACGTGGCAGCTGGGGGGAGGGTCACTTCAGTGTGCCATCAATTCGTCGGACGGCGCGAGTCGTTGCGCTTGTTTTCGTTTTCTCCGAGGAGGGACCGTAAAAGAAGCTATAGAAAAAGGGTCCTCACTAAATTTAGCATCTCTGCAGTATCGGTACGTGGTTTGCACATGACGTCATCGCAGCACGACGGTGGTCACTCCAACTTGTTCTTCAGAATGTACGTGCTCGGCAGCAAGGCCGCCAGAATGGCCACCATTGCGACGTCGGCGCAAGCCACGCGTACCCTCCTAGGTTTTCGCCAGTTTTACACGAGCACACTTCAGCGATGCTTTGCTACACCCCAACTTTTGATAGTTCAGTGCTCACTAAAGATGCGCGTTGCAAAAACTGCCACGAACGAAAGGACGCCAACATTGGTCCAATGCTTTATGCACCCCAAGCGTTTATTAGAAGTGCTGCCTAGCTTGAGATAAAAAAAAATGTCCCTTTAATAACAGGGGATTACACATTCGTTAAAGTTTGGCGCACGCATTTAGCTTGGTCAGACGATGGAAACAAAACAAAAATAGACAGTTTCCTGTTCCCAGCTAAGCCTACTTCCAGTATAACTAAAACAAGTCTCGGGTATCTATAGGGCTGAAGGACCGTGGAAACGTGGGCCATACCCGCAATTGCTACTCCAGCCCAGGCACCATTTTTGCTTATTCCGAGAGGACTTGCCTGTAGGAAATGTAACGACTTAGTATTTTGATATCTTCACCCAGAGAACTGCGTGTGCCTAAACTCAATAAACGTGTGCCCGCCATTCGGCGGAGTTTCTGGGGAAGATTTGAAGACTTTCGAGTGAAGAAATAATTATGGTAAGGCCCAACTGATCGACTTGCACATTGAGATAAGCCTCCCAAAAACTCGTCGACCGCTCCCGAAAGCATAAACGAAACGTCCTGAGACGCAAGCAGAGCAACCTGCTAGTACACAACCTCCTCCAATGCCTCCGCCTTACGACGGCACTCTTTCTGCGACAGACAGCGAGAACGACTGCACTGTCGCCGGAGCAGACGCTGCTCGCGTATACGTCGGACCCTCCTCGGTTTGCACCACTTCTAGGAGCAGGCCCCGGCGGCGCTACCACGACCCCCTGACAGTGACATGCAGGGTCCTTTATTGAGAACGAAACAAGCCATGAGAGCCGCAGTTAAAATACGGCACCTAGACGTGTTCTAAGCACCGTAGCTGTGCGGGCAAACGCTGCTATCCTTCTAAAGGGACACCACTCCCAAAAGGTCTTATTTTAAAAACAGCCTGGATAGGCCACGTGTAAAAAAAATGCACTTCCCCAGAAGAAATATTTTTTTTACTAATGCGGTACTCACTTTGCGAGACCAATTTTCGGGTCGCAGCGATTTCGTCTGCTAACGCATGCTGGCACAAAGGTGGCACCTATTTAGAAGTTCTGATGTCGCAGTAAAATCGGAACAAAAGCCACTTTGGTGGGAGAGGGCGTGGTAGAAGAGTAGCTACGAGAACGGATAGGAGTACTCACTCGCACGGCTCTGTAAAATGGCGCCTCTTGGCAAAAATATTGTATTAACAGGCGGTATTCACTGGCAGCCACAGACTAGCTCGCTGCTGCTGAGCATGCGTCGGTGGCAAGCTTCCCCAATGCTGCCAACACGCCCACATGCCTTGCACTGTTGCCGCACTACAACAGAAGAGAAATAGGGAAAACTCTTTGGTATGAATTTTGGGTGACGGATTAATCTTCTATAATCCTCTAGAAGGAAAATAGCGACGACTGGGAAAGTCTGGGACACACAAAAGAAAGTCCTAGTAAGTAGTTTCGCATGCGCTGCGAGCAGTCACCTCAAATATGGCATCCAGTGAATACATCCATCAATTTTTAGAGTGGGGTAGGGTGCATTTCACTACACATATCTTATCCCAGAAGCTCGAAAAACACAATTTTGTGGAGTTCAGTCTTCCTTTAACAGTGTACAGACAACGGCGAAACCTTCCACGCCTGACATGGCCACAACGTGAACGACCTCAAGAGCACCGGCCGAGCGCCAACGAGGTAGGGTGGGCTTAGAGCGATAAACTGGTATCCCGTTTCATTTAGTCAAAAGTGCCCCCCACCTGGCTGCCACCATGTTGCACAATTTTGACCACTGGACACGTGACTGTACCAAATCCTGAGGGTTTTACGCAAAACTGAGCCAAGATTTGTGTTGCGATCGCCGTGAAAAAACATGTTAAGCTATTTTTCAATACTGTTAGCCTCAGAGATCAGCGCCTAGCTCCGATAAGAACCCAAAATACAGCACCGCGGCTGACGGCATCTAGTGGAGACAATGCGAAGCTGCCAGTTTTTGTCGTAAAACCACATTTGGACATAAAACAAACAAAACATAACTTATCTCGTTGGTACCCTTACGGAACATCAATAAGCAATTATCTGTGCGTGGTATTTTGTTGAAGTCTAGACATAAAACTTTAAGGTCATGTGTCTAGTGGGTCAAAAATGTGCAACATAGCAGTGGCCAGTGGGGGTCACTTTCCGCTGCTAGTTTATTGCTCCAAGCGCCTCTACCTCGTCGCCGAGCGCGTACTATACTTCGCATTTCGACCGTCTGCCAAAATATTGGTGGCTACCCTACGACGTGCAACACATGCTCGTGCCGGCGATGGTGGCATGCGACGTAGCGAGCCCGGGCTTTTCCTATCTACGGCGGCCGACAGGATGCAGGGTTCCGAAAGGCTGGATTCAAAACACACGGAGCGATATGGTAGTCGCACGAACCCGGCAAGCCGAGTCAGGTTGCGAAGTCACGAGTTACGGCGACACATACAGTGGCATCGGGATCTCAACGGCGAGCTTCAAGGCGACAAAAGCGCGGACGACGCGGAGTTTTTGGGTATCATCGTTCGAACTAGCGGTACGACTACGAATTACGAGACCACACCGTTAACGGGCGTGACCTAGTCTGCGGAACGCGACGGCAGCTGCGTTCGCACGAAGCAGACGTCGGCGGACTTGGAGTCGGCGGATAGGGAAGTAAGGTGAGAAAATCGGATGAGACTGCCACGCGGGCGCACGGGGCCGAGAAAACATGGTGGTAGACCAAGCTTCGGCTGCCAGGTCACTTCCCATTTTCCCTTTTAAAAATGAATATGTGCATGCGCAGGCTGAAGTGGTCTAGTGGAGAGTGAACCGCAACAGAAGTAAACCGACAAGACCTAAAAACAGTTTAAAAGATGTGTATGGTGCCGTTAGTCGCGACAATGCATTTCGGAAGGAGAAAACCACGGGGCTAGGTGACGCTCAGTCAGCCAATCACGGGGCCTGTCAATCTTTGCGCGCAGACTTAGCCGGTGACAACGACTGTTTGACAGCAAAAATAGACCGTTCGAATGAGGGAGGCACCAAAGTCGATTCCAGAAGAGTTAGGTTCCCGTCAGTTTGGGATCAGTTGATCTGGCAATAATGTGTGCCTTCCCGACGAACAGGTGTCAACCTGAAGCACCACCTCAAAACAATTCCCGGTTCCACTAACGTGTCGTTTCTTTGTGCTTTTCTTTGGTGTCGGGTTTCCACAGTGTTGCAAGCTCACCCGTTCACCTGATCTTGCGTTATTTCTGCCTCGGATATTTGTAGTGAGCGACACATTTCTGTGAATGTGATACACCCCTTACATATCCTGATTGTGTGCTCGCTTCAACAAATGGAGCCACTGAGGAAGGTCTCCAGCTGGTTTGCATCCAACTGGCTGCACTTTGGCAGGGCATGTTTTTTTGTCATGTGAAGATTGTGGAAAGTGAACTGCGATAAACAAAAGAAAAAACGAAACCTTCTTATAAAAAAAAAAAAAAAAAGACAACTTGACTGGATATTTAAAAAGGAATGAAAAAGTTGAAAATTATGGTAAATAATTAACTACAACACACTTCACCAGACTAATAGCATTATTTAGAAGTCCCAAATGGAGATTTTACAGGCACGCGGAACAAAAAAAAGAACATAAAATTTCCCTTTCCAGAGACAGTACATTTTTCATTATGCATTTTTTTGTTTATCTTTACAAAGAGTCGCTAGATGAAAGATACATGAGTGGGATCACCAGACTAATATCAATGTTTAAAAGTCCGACATTGAGAATTGCCAGGCATGCGGAAGGACAATGAAGAAACCTAAAAAAATCACTTTCCGGAGGGAGTACATTTTTCATTCTGCTTTTTTTGTTCTTCTTTAAAAAGAGTCCGTAGACAAAAGACACGTTTAGTAAGAGTTAACATGGTTCTGGTCAAGCATAAAAAGATCTGGTCAAGCACATTACGAATAAAACAAAATGAACGAGCCACTGGAAATGTTTCGGTGAACGTTTGACATGCAAGGAGCAGGACACAGGGAACAGCAAACAGACAGGGAAACACAAAGCCACTATAAATGAGGGCATATTTACACAGTTTGTTTGACGCCTCTACCATTGCCTACGTCAGCAGCCACATGAAATTAATGTCACTCGAGGGTCCCAACAGAAGTCGGACAAGATGACGAGGCATTAAAACATCACCGACATAAAAGAGACCAAGCAGAGACAAAAATTATGCATATGCCTGCAGTACTCGCAATTATTGGCATTTTAGCTCTGCTCAGATCTTGTTGCACGTAAAACCAGGAACAAATGGCAAGACACCACTCTTAACGGCACGGCGGCGACTTCCTCCGTTGATAAGCGGTAAGTGGCAATTTCAACTGTCCCGTTGTTTTGAAAGTGGCGCGTGGAGCTCGGAATCTAACTGTTGGCGAGAGAAATCTAAGAGAAACCGGGGCTGCAATTCTGCGGTGCTTCGCTGCTATTGCATTTCAACGTCTCTTCTACGAAGACCATATTCCGCCGATTAAATTGAGACAAACATTGTTTATTACTTGGCCCTTGGTCTATCCCCTCTCGCACTGGTTGAGGGTCGGACCCGCAGCACCAAGGTCCTAGGTTCAGTTCCCCTTGGGAAACGCTCGAATTGTTGTTCTTTCTTCTCAATTTATCCGCGCGCATACCGCACATGCGCATTCATTTTGTGTTACGAAACAGAATTTTTCCGGATGTCTAAAACACCGATACAAAAAAAAGAAAAAAATCTTTGCAATTAAATGGCGAGCACAGCATAGTTTTCAAACATTCTGCTTTCAAACATTTGCAGACAATTCTTTAAAACAAAACGAGGTCAAACGTTTTACGAGGATAGTATTAACGACTGGAATATGGACTTTGCAGAAATATAACATTGTTAAAGAGCTCTGGCTCGATTTCCCATTGTACACAGACAGCATGGCCAGTACAGTACAACTGCTAACCTGGGACTGCCAACGCACACTAGGGATTTTGCATATACATGGTGGGATTCTGACGCAGTTGGCCACATTGACCTTGGTTAAAATCGGACCCCAGGGTCGTCGGCGATGGCACGAACGACCCGTTTTAAAAGTGATTAGGTGCAAACAGAAAGAAGACAAATATGGGACAATTGGTCTTCTGCCACCCGTAGATGGAAGTAGTCGCACCGATGCCAAGGGTGCTTGCCACCAGCCTGGATAAGATTTCGAGTGGGAACTTGCTCGTAAGGCCACCAAAACGTTATTGCACTTCAACGCCTTCGACCGGACAGTGCAAACTTAGAAACCCCGACGAACGAGTAGAAGTGCATCCAAGACGCCCCAACCTGCCGTCCCATACAGTGTCGATCGGGGCGTGCCATACCGTACTTAGTCGAGTAGTGGACGCACCGTTTGGAGACAAGGCCCGTGCATCTACACCTTCCACAAAACACACGTACAGACAATCACCACGCTCAATGTAAAAATCGTAGCGCACAATGAAGGCTAAGAATGGATACTCTGTAACAAACAAACTAGCAGCCGTATTTTGATGTATCGATCAGACTGTCATATGTGGAGCTGCAATGTATGAGAAACGGCGAGTTTTAATTTTGAAGCGGCACACTGATTCATCAAGCAACATTGCATCTTGTGGCAGTGTCACGTGACATCATGACATCATGCTACACTACGACTTCACTCTCAATGTTGCCGCAGCACGCATCTATGCGACGGTCATAAAATTTGAGATAGCTGCCGTAAAAATGCAATTCGGCATTAAAGGGGTTACGACATGCCAAAAATAAAATATTACATAACTATTCAGCTAGGACCCATTGTATGTTCCTATAATCCTGCTAAATTTGTTTTAAAAAAGGCGCGATAATTTCGTGGATAAATCGATTTATATGCGGGCCCCTCGGAGGGGCAGATCCAGGCGGACCTGGAGGCTGATGACGTAGCCGGCCTCCAGCGTGGTGTCTACTTGCACGCACTCACAGACTCGGCTCTTCTTGGCATATCAACTCTCAGCTCCCTTGTTTACCTTCCACGTTTCCAGCATCCGGTCTGTGACGATTACGTCTACGGCATCGATCGCCTTGTCGAAGTGTTCGACATTGATCGCAGCAGCGATGAGAGTGATTGCTATCCAGAGATGTTGGAAGCTGTTCATTTTGACTGCGACCCACTGGCGAAGAGCTCCAACGACGACGAGTTCGCCGTGGTCACCGTCGTGCGGGAATATCTCGCAGGCGCATGCAGGGTGGAAGGTCAACCGGCCAGGGGGCGAGTACGAGAATAGCTTTCAGTTTACCGAGCTGTTTGAGCGGTCTTGTTCGTACCGCGACGAAAAGAGCTTGGGCGATCATGGGGCGCCTAGAATGAGAGAGTGTTCATGGTCACGTGGTTTATGGACACCATGGTGTGACTAACTTGAGCAGTGTTGCCTGGTCGCCAGATGAAAATTATAAAAATTTGTAAATTGAATTTTGCAATTATCAGAGCTCGAAAAATTGCGTAACTTGGTGTATATACTAAGTAGCCTATGAGCATTCCATTTCAAGAATAATCTATCCGTTTAATTTTCGTGTCATAACCCCTTTAATGCGATTTGTACATGCGACTTTTACGAGTTGACATTCTTTTCTGTCAAGTAAATTGTTGCAAAAATGTCGTTCTGTCAACCACGACTGGCCACCCTCATAGTCTCAAAAAAAAAAAATCCCACGGGCAGGCGTCGTTCACAAACGGCGCATCCATGACTCGCATAAATATGGTTCATTCCAATTCGCAGCTGTGACCGGGGAAACAGCAACAAATGTCTCCGTTTAACAAAATAATCTGTCTTTACAACAACATGAGAAACAACCTTGCGCTCAAGTCGCAACCTAAGAGGTACACACGGACAGTTTAAGCAGCCGTCGGTCGTTTGCACGCACCGGGACGACGAAGACGACGCAAGTCCAGCAGCGGACGACGCGGGTTCGGCGCAAACGGTAATAAATAGTTAGTGACGCGTTGCTTCCGGGGTAAGCCCGGGCGGAACCACGAAAGCACGAAAACACTTTCTTTGTCAGCGGTTGCACTGGCGTCCACGATAAAATTCACCGAGTCCAGTTACCAACACGCTTTTTCGTCAAAGCCTGTAACGTTTAGCAAACATGTCATTCAAGACACTCATTGCGAGAGACGGCGAGCGACAAATCGTGGGACCCGTCACTGGGCCGCCAAAGGGTTCGTCGGCGTGCGCCGACATTGGGAAGATTCGCCTTGCAGATTGTAACCTCGGGCTGCCACGCTCGGGTAATTTAGAAGCCGTCGAACCAAAGACTTGGGAAATGTAAAACGGGACGTTTCTAAAAGCCTCAGGGGAGTATCTGCCCGTTCGTCGACAGCCGCGTCGAACCAGAAGTTGGATCGACGCCACATCGGGTTCGGGGCCACTAAATAGGTAAGCCACGCTTAGAGTACAGACGCCGCATTTCCCCGAAGGTCCCACGGGCGCCGCCATTTTGTGGCCCGGTGCAGGGCGGGGGCAACAGGCGACACTCACGATTCGGCAATGCGGGCATTCGAGCTTCAGGAGCTGCATCGAGAGGCTGGGGCGACGTCGCCTCGCTTCGACGTTTCCGGGGGACAGAAATCCGTTCCTTGCGATTTCGGACAAAGCTTCGCGGCAACCAGTTTCAACCAACAAGACTACTCTTTGAAGCCAAGGGTGGTCCGGCCAGTTTTGTGTTTGGTGCAATTTTTAAAACAATAAAAACCTCATTTAAAAGCACTTAGTGTCAAAAAAAAAAGAAAATTGGCATTTCGGAGCAGCCTTGGAGCAGCACCTATGCAAGTTCCGAGCAATTTGGTGCAGTTCCCTATTAGTGATACTGGCATGCATTCGTGTATAACCACTACAGAGTGAATTAGTTCGCAGACAACTGCTTTGGTGCAGTTTGGCGCGACATTTCCCCTTGGGTGCGTCCGGACCACCCCTGTGCAGTGTACCTTGGTTAGCGTCTCTAGACCTCCAGACGGGTCGTCCAACCGGGTCGCAGCCAACGCGTGTCGCTAGAGTTTGAGCGGCGCTCGAAGGGAAGGCTTTCCCGATGTTGGCGCACACCGTCGTTACCGTGCGGGGTGTCTCGTGCCAGTGCACAGGTGGCGCAGAAGGTTTTCGTCCGTGGCGAGGGAATGGGGGGCGACCTGCGTCAGAGCTGCTCGGGCGGCGGCGGGGGAGAGCACCGTCCGGCCGTCAAGGGCTTCAGGAGGCCTCGGCCTGCTGCCCCGCTGAGAGCCCTTTACGACCCACGATGCGGGTGCTGATCTGTCCAATCACGCCCTTCAACGCCGTCATCGACAGGCCCTGCATGAGGCACGGCACTGGTCAGGGTTGTGGAAACGACGAAGCGCCGAGAGAAGGCGCCGCAGACGGATTGAATAATTCTGCCATATTAAAAGGTTTAAAGGGACATCGACGAGGTACTTATGCTCGCCAAGGTTTTTCTTTGTACTGACGTACGAGAGTTCAACTACCCAAAACACAATTTGCGGCTCGAAATTCCTTCTCTTTTCGCATGAAAACGCCAAAAGAGAACTGGCTGGTTTGAGTTGCGCTCACTCTCTTCTCTGTGGTCGCGTGCCATTCTCTACAATTTAGATACAGCCACCAAATACTAAAATCAAAGCTGTGGGTCATTAAAGGCATCCACTTAATATTAAAAATAGAAAAAAAATAGAATACCCAAATTTTTGTAACTCTTAAAAAAAAAAAAAAAAAAAAAAAGTTGCACAGTTACGTGATTATCGGCCACTTCTTAAGAAGTTGTCTTTCCATCCAGGTCCAGATCTGCTGTCTGCAGAAACGGGCAAACTTCGATCGAGCTGCGACTCCTCTGCCGCAACACCAAAATATAAGCGAGGCTCAATGGCTCACATACAATTTTCTGCGTTTGATTTTCGTGCTCAACCGTTTCTACAATAAAAGGACTTGTACGGCGAACCTTTCTGCCAGGTCCGAGAAATTCGCAGCAAGGACGTTCGACTGTGGCAGGTCGGAATTCGCCGCCACGCAAGTGAAAGAAAGTAAAGACGCCGAAGATATGGCAGTCTTTAGACACCAGCACTAACGTGCGACAGACAACTGACAGGGGGGTGCCAACACTCGAGGAAATCCTTTGCGAGCGAAGAGAGAACGAAGGTCCCGTCGCAAAAGAAGAAAATGCACCCCCACACCAAGGACAGCCGTGCAGCAGGCGACACCCACCTTGCCGGTCTGCAGCGGCTGGTCCTTTTGGATTGCGGCCCCTTGTCGGTGGGCGTCCAGGCATTTCTGGTACCGCAACTGCAACAGAGACGCCCGTGTCTGTGAGTCCCCCACAGGAACGGCACGCAACCAACAATAACACGGAGTTCGAAATGGGGCGCTTTACGAAAGTCTGTGCGCGGCGTTCCGGCAAATCATTATTTAGCCGTGGACTTTGTCTGAAACATTGCAGAACCTTACCAACCACAGTCACGACGTTCCGGGAGAAGGAGCAAGTTTGCGGTGACCTCATTTCAATAGAAACGGACTTTGACCTTGCATTCCGTGGTTACATCGCAATATATGGGGTGTTCCCTGACCTCACGATCCCTGAATAGGATACTGCTTGCGTTATCTTTCCGATTTTCTTTTTTGTGTCCTTAAAATCGTTTTTGTAAGCAAAACAAAGTTTTGGTTTGTTATCTTCGTCGTTTTTGTTTCACACGAATGTGTTAGGACTTCTGTGTTGCGGAAATCAGGGAAGGCATGAAGTGTCTTTCCCGCCTTCATTTTACTTTGTCACGGACGTCCTCCAACCGTACTGTCTATGGCTGCGTCATTAGGGTAGGATGAATGTTTGTGGATTGCGGAGTCCGTGTTGCGGTGTTCGTAGGGGTGGGCGATATCTCTGGATATTACGGTACGTTCGTCGGTCTATTTATAAAAATTATTTCATGCCCAAAGAACACCTGGGAGCGGCCTGCGCTCGAGTAGGACGTGGAAAGAAGCCAAGGCCTGGAACGCCCACCTTGCAGGCTGCCTCAATGGTCTTGCAGAGGGCGCCCGCAGACGGCTCGCAGTGGAACACGTGCGCCACAAAGCCGTCCTGCGCCGTGTGCATGATGAAGCCGCAGCTCCTGCAATCGCAACGTTCCCGCCGTAAATCGGGGGCCTCGGTTTTCAAACTGTTTTGAACCACGGTTAAAAGCGCTAAAAAGACGAACAGAAGAGAGAAGACAAACACTGGTGCTCTTTTATCTCTTGCGATTGTCTTTTTAGCGCTTTACACCATGGTTCAAAATGTTCATCACCAACTAGCCGAACAAGTACTTTTACAGTTCTCTAACTGGGCTCCTCAGAGTGCCCTCGACAGGTTTCCAGAGTCCACAAAGTTCCTCGACCCCCCCATGCTTCACATACTTTTTTATTATTATTATTATTTCTAAAGTATGATATTTATATTATTGGGTCTGAGCCACTCTTTAATACATAACTATGAGCTAAGCAGTCCCTAGTGTGCACATTATTGTTTATTTAGGCACTACCAAAGACTGTCTTTTGGTGACTTCGTAACCATTATTTCGTTCAACCGGTATGGTTAATTTGTCCTCACGTTTTCGATTACTTCCTCTTTAGAGGCCTCATAATGCGAGGAAAATGTTCAAAGATATTACTTCCAAAGCCTCTAGACTTTTGCACTGCTTTCTTGCATCAAATTCGGAACTGGAAGGGTGGACTCCTCGTATAGAGAAAGCATTGGTAGCCACCTTTATCTTGGCGGGAAGTCCTATAATTGTTTGAACTATTTTTTAAAGATACTTGACAGTCCTCTCAGAAATTGAAAAAACTCCCCCACTAAAATTGGCAGGAGAAATCGACGACCTGCCGTGACAACATAAAGATGCGCTGTCACGTTACGTCGATTTCCTGCTAAAGTTAGCGAACAGGTGCACGAACTGATGCACGGATAGACAAACAAATTTCTGGGGTTAAGGGGTTGCGTTAGGAAGCACTCCATGCTTTAAAATGTCCGCCACGTTCACGTGCACTTCGACAGTCTCAAAACGGCGGGGCATAGACCCCTTGGGCGGTTTGCTAGTGATGCGGCTATTCCTCCTGGGGGGGGGGGGGGGGGGGGGGGGGGGGGTATGGAGGATCTTTGTGCCAAGTGACCAGTTCTCTGGAGGCAAGAAGGTACCGATAAAAGGCAAGCTCGTGCTGCAGTTCATACTGCCAACTGCTGCATGTAGTTGCCATGAAAACTTGCAAGGAGAAAGATTTTCATGGCTGCTGCATCCAAAACGCCCTTGCACCAAGACCGCAGAATTACTGGCTGAAAATGAATTTTGAATATGTACAACTTAAGACTTCATTTAAATATGAAACAAAGAAATTGAAAAAAAAAAAAGGAAGTTGCTTTACAGCTTGAAACGTCTTTTTGCGTCACGTAGAAAAAAGGACATAAATAAGAATCGTCATTTTACTTTTGTTTCGCTGAAAGAGCATATTTCCTGAGCTCTATTTAACAACACTGTTTGGTGATTCTTAGGAGACTGGTGCACGGCATTTATTTTTGTATTGGCATATGTTTCATAAAATTTGCTCTATAAGGTATGTGTTCAGCCTTCCTTCTTTTACCTGCAAGGTACAATCGGCATCAAGTTATTTTCCGAATATTTTAGCCCTAAATATACCTGCGCGTTACTACCTGGGGCGTGTTACAACTGTGCAAACACGGTACGCGTTACCGGCCCAACACGCATATCAGCGTCCCCTGGATTAAAGGAACCAGTGAAGCCCTGGCATGTGTGCTAGCGAAGTTAGGTATTCAGATGGTCCACAAGCCAGTTTCAACTCTCGGGCACTTTCTACCGCGGCCAAAATATTGACCACATAGAGAGAAAGCACAAGGTGTAATTTATAAGGTTTCCCGAGTGGAGTGCCCAGCCACGTATGTCGGCGAAACAAAGAACTATCTGGAGAGGATCCGACAGCACCAAATTGTGTGCGAAAGCTCGAGCACGAACAAAGCACGGTTGCTGAACATTATGACAAAAATGACCATCTAATTGATTTTACCAAAACACTTATCCTGGATGCTGAAACTAATCCCTGTTAAGGGCTATTCCTGGAATGCTGGCACGTTCAAACTATGCCAGGAAACATCAAAGGGTCTCTTGGAGCGTTACCCACTGTATATGTCAACGGGCTCCGACACGTGACGGAATGACGACCATGGAAGAAGGAAAAGAGTGCCTTAACCACCATTAAGAAAACGAAGCATGGCTCCTATTTACCACAGTCACCCCTGAAAAAGAGGCCAGACCGGCCTCGAAACGTTGGGTCCCACCCCGCATTCAGGGATTGGTTGGTCGTCCTTCTTTTTAATAATTTATTCCTCAACCAGACAAACTTCTGTCAAATGTTTATATTCCATACAAAGATTACCCGTGGTGTCACATGACGTGACAATGTGACACCGCTATGTCACTTCACCCATCATCATGCGATGTGCCAATGATGTCACATGACTGCTATCTACTAAATTTAGCGGAAAGTATAATCAATCGCCTTGTAACAGTCGCCCAGTCTGCGTTTTGTTTCCATCCGACTTGATACAGGATCGACGAGGTAGTGTTCTTGGATTCTGCATTGGCAACATTCGAATCATCATCATCAGCAGCAGATTGTTCATCACTATCGCACGGTTCCTCTCGTCAGTTGTTCAAAGTAAAAAGCATTCTGGCATGGGATGTTGGCTGCAACTGTCATTCTTTCCATGGTGTCAATGAGGACACCATAAAAGTGTTCACATAAACGTTTTAGTGGAAGGTGCAGCAAGCTCGTTTTGCCCTCGGGACACTTCAGTGGCATTACGAGCACCGGGCACATGTTCCAGGCAGAGTAGTGGTGCTGCCGAAGGCCCGGTTGCGTGACAGAGACTCACGTGACTTGCTTGCCGATGCCCAGGAAAGAGAGGAAGCGCACGCGGCACTCAGCCAGCACCTCCCGCTCCTCGGGTCCTTCCCGGCGGGTCGGGGCGTCTAGCAGCACCGTCACCGTGGAGGGCGCCACTGCAACCTGGGGGCAAATCACGCAGGTCTCAGGGGCAAGAGGGGGCGGCCACGAGCCACGTGAACCGGTTAGAACCGTTCGCAAATCCGGGCGCACCAGAGTCACCAATGAGGCCAGGGAGGAGTTGGCAACTACAGTCACTAACAAGGTGAGCTTCCAGTCTTTGAGAAAGCTTTGGCGTTTCGAGCGCCGCCGTTCTCACTCGTCTCATTCTGTCGGCGACCACGGTGGAACGGAATAGATCGACCGCCGAAGAACGGTCATTGACTGCCCCCGGGTCGCGGCGACTCGTTTCCGGTGGATGCAAGGGGTCTGCTTTCTGAAGGCTATTCTCCAAACCAAGTTGTTCTACAGTTGCCGACTGAGCGAGAACGACGAGGTGCATCTTTCGGTCACCCGGCAACATCTCGTGCTCCAGGTGCACGAGGCGCTGAAGCGTCGTCAAAGGCAGGAAGCTCATGAAGGAAGTGGCACCAAGGTCCACCCCACTGTCCTCGCCTCGCTGGCGGCCACAAGGACGCTGCTCCGAAACTTGGTTTCTCAAACCGTGTTCCTAGGAATTCCCCCCGAGCCCCCAATTTTCATAGGGCGCATCAAGCCCGTGCTCTTTTACTCCTGCTCAGACACTTCGGGTTTCATACCCCGAGAGCAGAAACTAAACGGAGCGTAGCGTAAAGGAGCGCGGCAGACCGAAACTGTCGATGACCTGCGTGAGCCACTTCTGACCGCGCGGTTACGATCAGGGGCGGATTTAGAAAAAAAAAAATGCAGAGGGGGAGGGGCGGGTGACTGCCCCCCCCCCTCTCCCCCTCTTTTTGCCAGTTGAATGCCTAACACCCCTCCCTGGTTTGACCCATAAATCCGCCCCTGGTTACGACAAACCCAGCATCTCGTGGATACCGGTGGAAGAAGCCAAAATTATTTCGAAGATAAATTAATTAAGGAGTGTAAGGGGATAAATTAATCAAGGAGTAAAGTAAGAAAAAAGACGGCGACGTTAGAAAGTTGTTTGTGAATGTTTTAATATTCCTGAAAGGTTTGAAGACTCATCTCGATTACATCTACGGAAAGTTATCTTGACGAATCTTTTTATTGGCCATGCGTGCCGTTCAGATTAAAATCAAAGACAACATTCTTGAACTCGCTTGTTGATGCAGGAAACTGTCACAATTGTCGGATGTGCCATGGTTCCGTCTTGCAGAGTGAGACGGAACCTGTCGATGTGCTACGCCGATACCCGCACACCACCGTGCAAAGGATAGCACGTCAATTCGTGCTATCTATTGAATGGTGTTGTTTCGGCTCTCCAATCAAAGTTTTTCTACTCGCTGGTCTAATCAATGTAGAAAGGTCGGCGACCTGAATGTCTTCTCATCTCGACTACTTTTCTGACGCTGCACTATCGGCACTCTACCGTTCGATACATAAATTAGTTTTCAGGCGAGATGCATGAACGGACCTTTTTTTGGAACGCTAATTGCTGTCTCGGCTTTCAAATTAAATCTTTTTTACCTGCTGGATTAAGCACCATTCAACTGAGAAGGAACAGCGGTCCACTCCGCCCTTCATCTTGACAATGTTTCTGGTCGGCGCAGCCGTCTTGTTGGTGTACGCGACGTCGCGGAGTGCGAAGAAGTCACGAAGAGCGCGCTCGAGTGCAAGTCTCCAGCGGCGCTCATGTCCGTTTAGTGAACAGAGCGTCAAACTCTCGCGCTCCAGAGCACGGACTTAAACGCACCCACTGACCATCCCCGCCCGTAAGTACATGTCTTTTCGGTTTGAACGCTATTTTAGCAGATCCAAGTCGCCCGTTCAAGCCTTACTGAGTGTCAAATGCTTCCTCGCATTACTGATAAACGGCAATGCACACTCTAGGGCAGTGGTTCTCCAACAGGGGTCTGCGAACCTTTTGGAGTCCTCAAAAGCCTTCCCAGGGTCCCTGAAGACCTCAACCGTCGGCTGAGCCAAGCACTAAAACTTCATTTTTTTTTTAATCGACGCTGGCTGTCCCATAATGCTAAATACACCAAACCACGTGTGCCGAGCGAGTAGGGTCCATCCTCTCCCTTTTGGAATTTCAAAGTTGGTTTCCCGGCATCTGGATTTTTTAGTCTACTCCTTTGTCGTTGTAGTGAGGTGGCGATTTGGGCCAGTGAATAATCGTTGTAAACGACGGGGAATAAACAGCGCAGAAAAACGCGGACAGCAAAAAATAAAAAAACACGCACGACAGGTCAAAGCCATGTCCCGTCGTGCGTGTTTATTTCTTGCCGTCCGCACGTTTTTGAGCTACTCATTCATAACACACCATACTTTGTCACAGCGTAATACCTCCCCCCTCCCTCCCTGGATGGGATCCCCCATCCAGAAGGGGTCCGTAAAACATCTGTGGTGGAGAACCACCACTCTAAGGAGCGTGTGGCACTTAGTTATGCATCAAAGAGTGGCTCCGGTCTGCTAAAGTCAACTAAAAAGACAGTATGCGCGGGACGGCCAATGAAATTTGAGATTAGGGACGAGGCCCACGAGGACCATGGGCTGCTGTACTGCCCTACTCCGTCGCTGCCAAAAAACGGGAGAGCTTCGTCGACCGTCAGTCGAAAAAGACATGCATTCCTCGAGCATTTCGAGACGCCCCGCTCCGGACGGAGCGAGTCCTGGAAGGAGGGCGGAGGGGGCCCCACCTGGACGGGCAGCCAGTGGGCCCTGGGCACCCGGTCGAGCAGGGCGTCCACGGCGTGGTTGAGCAGGTCCATCCCGGAGGGCCCCGGCACGGGCACGCTGCCCAGGTACAGGGCCCGCAGAACCTTGCGGGGCTCCTCCATCGGGCAGGGGAACACGGGCTCCCCCTCTGCACGGCCATGCGGTTCCGATATCGTAACTTCGTTTCGGACGGCCCCGTGTCCGAGAGGCCGTGGCGCAAAAAGACGCAAGGCCCTCCGACGTGGCCGTCCGCCACTCTCATAGCGTATTCGTGCGACGAATCTCCGCCTCTGGAGAAACCCGAGCGTGTCCTAGATCTGCGAGGAGGAGGCGGAGAAACTCCGAGCGAGCGTTTGCACAACCGAGTCGTGAGTGGTTGAGTCGGCGGAGTCTTTCCTTTTGAGAACGCGTTTGCGACCTTGGGGGTCGCAAACGCATTTGCGAAGAGACTGCTCTGACGAGACAATAAATATTCCACGCAGGAGTCGCAGATTTTCTGCGGCTCCCCGAGGGTTTAGAAAATTGGGGAACAGCTGCGACGCGGCGTGCACGATCTCGAAACTCGACGACGTTTAATTCCCTCCTTGGAGAAAACTTCCGACGTGCAAATGCACCATTAGAGCAAACTATTGTTTTATTGCTTCGCAGTCGCATATTGAGCACTAAAATTCAATGTGTTGTAATGTCACTAATAATCATTCAATCAAAAAAGTACTTCCAAAATTACACTCTTCATAATTTGTGGTATCTGACCATATGTTAAAACAGTCTTTTCTAAAAATGGTTTTTAACCATTGTTTCAGGAAATGAAGTTTGGTTAATATAATTATCCCGAGAAAGTAATAATTAAAAAAAGTGATAACAGGTATTTGAAATCAGCACAAAAGTCTGAACAAGCCTGTGCTGTTTCATTAAACTCGGCCAAAAAAAGAAAAAAAACTCCAAGACCAGTGTTCCCCCTTTATGCACATCCTCGAGATCAGAATCTGAGAACCCCTGCCCAAGGTTGCACTGGCCCAACATGCCGGCTGAGGAAGACCCACCCAGAGAGGCCAGGCGGTCCAGGGCGGAGCGCTTGGGGGCGGCCCTGGGGGGAGGCTCCTCCGAGGACAGGCTCCGCTCGACCACCATCCGCTTGCACACGTCCCGCAGGGCGTTGGCAATGATGCGTGCCGGCATGTCGCACCGGAACACGTGGCACATGAAGCGCCGGCTCGTGCGGTCGCGCGCAACGTACGCAAAGTCCCTGCGACAGGGCGGTCGGGGACCGTCACCGACGCGGCCTGCCAAGCATTGGCTTGGTTGGCAACGTAAGCATAAAAGGTTCCCTTCTCTGCAGTCCATCAAAGATAGGGGATACAGCACCCAGCGACACTGTGGAATAACCGTTGTCACAGCTGTTTTAACGTGAAGCATTATTTGCCCACGTGGTTCAACATTTCGTGAAACCCAGACAAAAGTGTGGCCACGAGGCTCGACACTGATTGACTGACAGGTGAGAGAGCAGGAGTGAGGTGCTCGACGCTGATTGGTTAACAGAAAGGTCATGTGACCAGAGGGGTATGCCAGGAAGAGCTCGAACACCAATGTGCACTGGGGGAGAGGAGCTCGAGAGCTTGGAAGGCTCTGGAAGATTGCCAGGTTTATCAGCCTGATTAGCGGTAGTATCGCTTCATTCTAGAAACTATCAAGTAAACAGATGTTACACAATAGACCCTTTCCGGAATTCAGTGCCATCTGGTAACTCAAATGGCAGTTTATCTTTTACTATACTAATGGCGGCAATGAACCTGTGGACTGCAGTATTTAATGGGGCACCGCTACTTTTAAAGGTCAACGGTAAACGAGAATGTGCGCTTCACTACAATTATTTTTCAGTCTCTTTTAGTGTCGATGGCGAAACAAATGCAGCCAGTCGCAACGAAGCGCCAACCCACATAGACAGACGCCTTGATAGAGTTCTATACATCAAGGGGCTTTGAAGCCGAGTGAGTGCTACAAACAGATTGACTGGGACCGAGTTAGAAATGAACGCTTACGCAGCCCTTGCGTCCAATTCCTGCTTCACGCCGCGCTAACATCTAGAATGTACAGGCCTCGAATCGTCCGCTTAGGAGCATCTTCAACCTCTTCCTTCATCAGTAAACAGAAGGCCGCCATTAGTATAGCACATATGCCGTTTTCAGATGATGATGATAGTGATAAAAGTGGCCAGACTGAATTCCTGAAAGGGTCTATAAACTATCTGATGAAGAGCGCCGTGAACGTAGGCGTCTGGCATCTGGAAACTTGGGCTAAAGGTTTGTGATGCTGGAACGTCTCACGCTTGCAACACAATTGCCTAGCAATTTGCCATATTTCGACAATGTGCAGGTCTATACCTACACTTTTTTTAGTACTGTAATACTTCCACTTCTAAAGTCCTTGTGTTTTACCCTATTTGTTGTTTGTGTATTCTGCTATAACGTGCAATTCACCTTTTTGTGTATGTGCACACCTTGCTACAACGCCTCTTGAAGAGACAAATATGTTTGAATACTGTAAACGACCTATTTTTTGCGGGCTCAATATTTCGCTATTTAGGCCAAAGCTGAAGTTTTGGAGTGATTCGCAGGTTCTCATTTTCGCGACGCGGTAGGATCTCAATATAGATTCCAATGTGTTTATATCTTACCGGAATTCAACAGCACAGAAAGTTGAAAAGCAGAACCTTGGAAAAAAATGCCTCTTCTTAATCATAAAAAAAAAAAAAAAAAAAAAAAAAAAATTATTTCATTTTGGACGCTTTGTTTCTGTGCAGAAAAATATGCATACAGTATTTACCAGCATAATGAACGCACCTCCGAAAACGGGAATCAGTATTTGGATTTCTTTCTTTTTCTCGCGTAATGAACACACTTTTAAATTTCGGCTCCGCAAGTCTTGAAGCCAATTTTCTTTTGCCGCCAAGCAGCCAGGCCAAGTCAAGCCAAGCCACTCTTAAAAGGGCTGCAATCGCATGGTTGCGGAAGTGATCAACCGTGAAACCGAGCGGCGCATAAGCCTAGCAAAGCTGGGGTCGAGAATTAGCCCAGCCCCGGACGTGCTTTGTCCATCGGATGCATTGATGTCAACAAACACGCCGTCGTCTGTGATCCGCCTTCGGACAGTGATATCGTGAAAGTTGGTAGGCCTAAGAACGGTTACGTCACTCTCCATCTGAGTGAGCATTATAGGGCGCGTTCATTCGGCAAAAGGCAAGTCAAAAGCGCCTTAAAAAGCTTCGCAGTTTATAGACCATGGTTACTGTGGCACACCCATGAGCAGCCATGGGTACGCCTCTGTCAGTGGAGATGTGCCACAGTACCCTGCCCTGTCATATTAGCATCTAAAATGATATTCACGCAAAGTGTAAATGCAAAAATTTTACAACACGTAAAGAACGCACCCTCCAAATATGTGTCAATTGTATGGAAAAAAAGTGTGTTCATTATGCGAGTAAATACGGTATAGCACAATGCCATTCATTTGCTCCGGGTTGAATGAGTGGGACTCACCTCTCTCTGCGCGAGGCCAAAGAAGGATGGGGTCACGGGTCGTCCGCCGGGGGGGCAGCGGGGATATCAAGGGACGGAAAGAATAAAGCCACACCGTTAAAGGAGCACTCCGTCACGCGGCTGCTAATTTGCCTCGAAATTGTGGGAAAATAATACGTATAAAACGAAGCACACGAGCGCTCGTATAAGGAACGTTCTTGTACTAGCACTCATCCGTCGTGCAGGCCTTCTTTCGTGCCCCAGTTTCTAAGCGCTTCGCTTTGTGAAAGGGGGTAAAGCCTCAAAACCCTCCATCAAGGAAACCGAGGGGTTCGATCATGGCCGTGTCCCACAAATGTACCGAGGCGACGACGAAGGCGCTGCGCGCTCTTCTACGTGATCTCCGCCACCGTCCAGAATTCAACAAAAATAAGACTCGCGTCACATCACGGATTCCCCACTAAATAGTGGGGAAACGCCTCACCCTAAATATGGCGGGGAAATTGCGACATCACGCGACAGTGCACGACCGAGGTGTCACGTGGCCATGTAATGTCGCGCGACGTTGCAATTTCCCCGCTAAATAGAGAGAGAGAACACCTTTCTGCAATATCTAATGAAGAAATGTATCGCGTCACGCCGCGGTCTTACCCGACGCCGAGACTTCTTGCTAAATTTAGCAAGCCACAGCTACACCCCCCTTCCCTTCTCACCTGCCCTGTCACACAGCAAACCCCCAGACACGGAAGACAGAGAGAGCGACACTGGAAGCTAGTAGGTATGTTTCCAAACACCAAGGCGCAAAACCTCGACTCTTGGTTAACATTGAGCAAATTGCAAAACATCATCTACCGGGTGTCCCAAATAGCGGCCAGGCTCTTTAAATCGACAGCAAAATTCGGTTTCTTAATTTATCGCAATCCAATTTTGTGCAGCGCTGCCCACAGATGGTGCATTTTTTTTGTAAAATTTCCAAAGAGCGAACTTACCCGAGGAAAAAAGAAAGAAAGAGGCTTAACTCCTATGGAAACGCAACGAAGCCACCAATCTTCAAACAATACAGCGTAGTTTCGCACAAGAGACAAGACATGGCGCACGCGGTCGCAATGCCAACTGCCGCTAACGAAAGAGCATACGGCGCCGAGAGCCGGCATCATTAGCAGACAATCTTTTCAACTGAAAAGCGGCGCTTCTCCTACAATGTGATTATCCAACTTGCCCAAGCATCCCTTCTAAGATTAAAAGCGGCGCGAGCTTTTTTGATATCAGTTGCCAATGTATTATTTTATCATCTTTACTAATAAAACGCATTGAATAGATACATAATTGATTAAAGAATTAGTTTGTCAAGATATGTGGACTGTTTTTTGTTAGTTTCTTTTCAGCTTACTTTTGTTGTTTGTTTTGCAGTTCCTGGTTGTTACCGTGCTCGCTTTTGGTTCTACAAATGTCGTTGCTGCGAAACGCGCGCCGCTTTTGATTCGACAAGATTGTCTGCTAATGACGCCGGCTCTCGGCGCCGTGTGCTCGTGCGTTAAAGGCAGTTGGCGTCGCGAACACTTGCGCCATCTCTTGTCTCCCGTGCGAAACGATGCCGTATTGTTTAAAAACGGGTGGCTTCGCTGCGTTTCCACAGGAGTTAAGCCTTTTTCTTTCTTTACTTTTTTTCCCAGGTAAGTTCGGTCTTTGCGAATTTTACGAAAAACATGCACCATCTATGGGCAACGCTGCACAAAATCGTAGCGCGATAGGTTAAGAAACTGAATTTTCCGGTCGATTTTAAGAGCCTGGCCGCTACATGGAACACCAAGTATGTGTCTCGACCCCCCCCCCCCCCCATTCCCTCTAGGATAATCAAAGAATGTAAATGACCCCTTTGTACATCCATGCAACGTCGTCGGGCTTGAATGGCACCAACTCGGCAATCGGCTCCGAGCCTGGCACTGAACGCACGTCGATGCGTCGAGCGGACGCGAGGCCTGGCCGAACGCCGACACAATGCTCGTGTCCAGTGTGTGTGCGATTACATCAAAAGTTTAGTGCACAGGGGTCCGATTTTGATCACCGCAAAACCGAGATCTAAATCTCCTGTCACGGAGCGAGCAAAGATAGCAAAGGACGCGGCTCGTCTGCGACGGAGCACCATTCGCAGATATACAAACGCAAGAAAATGCTGTACCTCGTCTGTTAAAAGACTAGAAAAATAGTCTATCATCTACTACGAACCGAGCACCGCAGTGAAACGGGATCTGAAATTGCGATCGTCGGCCATTTTACGGCGGAAACCATTGACAACCTACGCTTCATTTGCAAATCTCAAGTTGCTCTCCTGCCGTAGACAAGATGACATTGACCGACGGATGAAGGAGTCCTAAGGAAAAGCACATCGGAGGCTGCGAGACCTCTTTCGCCATCCGTACAGTGGCAAGATGTCCTCACCAAAACGCTACCCGACTGTGAACTCGCAAGCGGGACGAAAATGCCTCCTCGGCAAAATACGCATAAGCCGTGGTGCCACGTCCAGTCAGCAGTTGAGGATGCTTTTTCTTTCACCTCAACCAAAATCAGACCCCTGGCTTCTACTGTTACGTCCGGCACCGACTCGGCAGATGTCACCCTCCCCCCGCCCTATGAACTCACCTGCCATTGTCCCTGCCGACTCCCCAGACACGGATGGCGTGGAGGGGCTGCACGTGCAGGGGTTCCTCCCCCTGGGGCCCCAGCAGGCGCAGCTGGTCCTGGTCCAGCTCGAGCAGCAGGTCCCGGCCCTCCCCCCAGCGGCCCACCCCGTCCGGCAGGGCCCGGCCCCTCCCCAGGGAGAGGTCCACGATGCAGCGGTTTACCGCCCGGCTCGACCGTTCAGGGCTCAGCTCCTCCTCGGGGATTTCTGACCAGCCCAGCGAGCGCACCGCAAAGCGGACCGGCACCGGCCGATCGGACGTGGACCCCACGGGCGCCTGTGGGCACGGAGTTAATTTAACACTCTGCCGTAACGTCCCGAAAGATGCCCCACCCCCGAAGGATAACCCACACCTATATTTAGAATGATCTGCTATTTTTGAAACAACAAACGCCGAAAGATAGCACATTTTGAGTAATTGCAGGGCCCTGGCCAACGGTGACCTCAGTGAAAATGCCGTTACTTGGCCACGGCCGAGGATAAGAATGCTTTGCTGAGAAGGGAAGGACGGGAAGGACGGCCGTCTTCGGTTTGTCACCTCTCCCTGAGATCGCAAGTTTCGCAGGCCGCTATGTATAAAAGTAGCTCTTTTCCAACTTTTAATGCACACCGAAAGTTAGCCCACTACTTATTTTCCCCGGATCTGCTTTCAATTTTAGGTGGGCTATCTCTCGGGATTTTACAGTAGGGCAGTGGTTCTCAAACACCGATGTTTCTGGGAGCCTGTTTGGATCAGCAGAAAGTGATCCACCGCGGGGGAGCCGTCATTATTGAACGATTACAATAACGAAAAGATAAATGAAGAAAACTAAAAGTGTAGAAACCTACCTTGAAGCTTGAAACAAAGAATAAACAACTATTCATTTGAATCGGACACTAAACACACCAGTCAGAGGCGCGCTCCAGACACTGTAGCGAGAATATGCAATGCAGAGCGCAAGTTTGTCTGCTTCGCTCGCAGGGGTTGCGGTGACATCACAATGCCAAGCTCTGATTGGCTATGATTAAATGGTCGCTAGACCTCAAGGCAGCTTGCTTTGTTGTCTACCCACTATCCTTAATTCAAAGCCAGCCAAAGCTCGGCGTTCTGACGTCACTGTAAGCCCCGCGCAAGAAGCAGATGAACTTGCGCTCCGTGTACTCCTGTCCCAGGCAGCCTCACCGGCGGATGGTTCTGCCGCTTGACCTCCACCTGGGCTGGGGCCGGGGCCTCAGTGGCGGGTGGCGACGGCACCGGGCTGGCCGGCGGCCCTTCTGCGAGCGGGGACAGCACGGGCGGCTCCCTCTGGATGGTTCCCGTGCGTATGTGCCAGTAGTAAGGCCCGTCGTCGTCCAGGTGGCGCTCCCAGCCCTCCGGCAGTGCGGGTGCTGGGTCCGCCGCCACGGGCAGCAGGGACTCCGTCTCGGACTTCTCAGAGCTCCTGTTGGAGGCACCAAGAGTATGTAAATGAATCTGAAGGAAAAGGTGCGCCATTTTCAAGAGCACTTTGGCCGCCGCGTAACGGTAGGGTATACCGCATGAGTTAAAGGGATCATTGGTTGATAAAAGGACTACATGAATCAGTTTCTTAACATACTGTGCTAGGATTTACAACAAGCTTCTAAGGTCTTCTACTAGGAGCCTAAGAGGTCCCAGAAAAAGGCCACTAGAAGTCTAGAGGAAAGGCTCTAAAAGAAGAGCCCCAGAGGAAGGGCTTTAGAAGCCTAGAAAAAAGGCTCTAAAAGAAGGGCACTAGAAGGAGGGCTTTAGAAGCCTAGAAGGGCTGCTCTACAAGAATGGCTCAAGAAGAAGGACTCTAAAAGAAGAGTACTAGAAGGGCCATAGAAGAAGGGCCCTAAAAGAAGGGCAATAGAAGAATGGCCTTACAAGGACTATCAAAAGAGGGGAACTAGAAGGGCTTTAAAAGAAGGGCCCTAAAAGAAGGGCCCTCAAAAAGCTCTCCTTAGAAGAGGGGTCCTACGGCTGAAGAGAGCCTAGAAAAGAGTTCCACTCACCACTGGCGGCCAGCGTGCACAGTGGGGCCTTGGTGTGCCTCACGCTGCCTCACGGCGGTCTCCAGCATGCGGCAGTAGTCCAGAAAGCCCTTGTTGGCCCCACCACCAGATGTCAGGTTGGAACGGTTGTTGCATGCAACCCGCAACAGAGGCTGCTCCATCTCCCTGAAACAGGCAGCGGAGCTCAGCGTAACACTTCACTCGCAGAACACTTCCCGGCCCTGGGTATACTCTGTTGCAGTTAAGAAAAGAGGTCCAGCTCCTTCCACAAAGCTCCCCACTCTGCACTTTAGCAGACCAAATGCTGGAGAAGAGGCAAGTTTACTAGCCTCCTTCCTCTCCTACTCCTTAGCATTCGCTCTGCTAAAGTGGAAAGAGTGGGGGGCTTCATGGAAGGAGCTGGTCCTCCTTTTCTTAACCTGCAACAGACGCTATGTTTGATTTATTTACACCTCCTGCACTAGCTGCACTGGGTGCACCCCGTTGTAGTATTTGACTTATGAGTACAACCTATCTTAAAACACATACTCAAAGTACCTTGCACTATGCTTTTCTGCACAGGTGTAAGCTGGTACAGGTAAATTCAATGAGCCCAACAGTAATAGCTGCAACGACATGACTACCGTAATATTCGGAGAGATAGCCTACCTAAAATTGAGGGCGAATCGAGTGAGATATATCAATCATATTTGCATGCCCTGTTGAGATTGTTCTTTCATGCGCGCGTGTCCGAGTTCATATTATTCAACAGTTTTTTGCATCAGTTTTTCTGGAGTAAACAAGCACAAAACGAAACACGACGAGCATTTAAAACACAAAGCAACGTCGCCCTCAAAGACCTTTCTGCCAGGACTTCTACGCCCAACCGCTAGGACCGCGACATCCGACGGCTCCCGGGACCTTGTTTGTTGCTGCTTTGGGGCCACTTTCGGTGTACGGGCAGGATAGGGGTATTTACTGGACACCATATTTGAGTGCGATGTTTAGGGTGCATGCCCAGAACGAGCTCACATAATTAGGCTGCTAAGAACGGCAATCTTGCAGGATAGGACCCGAAACACAAACGTCCAAGACGCGTTCACGGCATGCTAGTTTGGGCAGCTCCGGCACTCACAGGTTGTTGTCCCGGTCGGGCTCCAAGGCGGGGTCCCGGGTAAGGTCGATGCCCATGGACTGCACCTCCAGACGGGCGTAGCTCGAGCGGCTCTTCACCCGCCGATTCAGGTTCACGTCCGGCCCGCTGTCCTCCTCCCCGTCTGACGCCGGCTCCTCAAACTCGGGTTCTGCCAGGGCATGCTCTGCACACGGGCGTCCGACATCGTCGCTCCCACGCGCAGCGTATTTTCCGGACTGTAGTCCGCACCCGGCGTATAGTCCCGCAGGGACAAATTTCGGGTGAAAAAGAAGCGTTATATAGTCCTTTGATAGTCTGCACGTAAGAAGACTTCTTGTACAAGGGACACCTCGCATTCCCAAGCCGTGCAAGAAAGCCTGCGTGGCCTAGTCGGCAGTGTGTCTGGCTCGCAACCGAAAGCTCATGGGTTCGAATCCCGCCTAAAATTCTTCATATTCTTTCTTTAAGGCAAATGGGAATTACTCTACAAAAGTGAAATCATTTGAGACATGCGGCAACCTTTAGTTCACGTTATCTGTCATGTTTTAATCACTTTCATTCCACGCGTGACGTCACGTTTCTCGCGAGCGTTGTGGGTCGTTGGAAATTCCCGCGCGAGGTCATGTGGCTGTGACGTCATGACCCAATCGACCAATCAGGATTTTCTTGCCCCACCGACACCGGATTTTCTGCTATACGAGCTCCTTAACGCTATCGCGTTAATAAATCCTCGTATGGTCAGCACCGTATAAATTTTCAACTTTTAGACATGTACACACGAACACATGACTAGGATCTCACGCCGCTACGGTGGCGCTGTGGTCGCCCCGGCGCGTGTACAGAAGTTTCACCTCACGCAAATCTGGTTTCTGGGCATGCGGAGGGCTTACACATTGTGTGAGCAAGCGCCAACTTGTTCGTAAAGAGTGCTTTGGTCTATAAACTGCGGCAGAAAATATGGTAGTAACAAAGAGCTTAACAAGTGTGGTGTGTGGCCTATTATATTAACATGCTCTTTAAAATTAATACAAAACATAAAAATTAAGATTCACTAGTTACTCACTAATCTTTTCTCTTGCATTGTATTAACTTGCTCAAATGTTTTGAGGGTGATTATATGTTTATTTTTCTTATAGGATTGTTCTTGTGGATGTACACCTATCAGAAGACCATTCCAGTTGTTCTGTTTTGGAAGACCTTAAATAAAGAATATTAATATTATTATTATTATTATTATCTGCACTTTTTGCCACACGAAAATCCATTGTGCATGCCCTCAGATGCAGCATTCCTAAGTATTTCGAAAGTCCTTATATTTCTTGCATAAATCTTCGCCATGAACCTCGTTTTGGAATTACAGACTGTTTCTTACACTACGGGATACGAGTCCACCCCTATAATGTGCCGTCAATATTCAAAGGACTTCCGAAGTAAATCATGGAGGCAAATTCGTAGAGAAAATTGAAGAAAATGTTCACACATGTAACATTCCAGCCAGGGCCGGCCCTAGGCTAAAGTGTTTTTTTAGCTTTTTGATTTATATAAAAACGGCGCCCAACATGACGCTACGTATATGCTCAATTGCTGTTTGTTTTCGGAATGCGGTTCTTGTCTGACAAAATGCTCATGTTGGGCCACAACTCACATGTTTACTAACAATGTGATGTCGTGCCTAGTGGATACAGGCGTATAAAAAGGGGAGGGTTGGGGAAGGGCGCCATGGCCGGAGTTCACCACAGGGCACTTGATGGCGTAGGGTCGGTCCTGACCCTAGCATCACCTTGTGGCTTTTCTTTTTCCTTTCCCCATTAGTGTTATGGGTTGTGTCCCTAAGAAACAAGTACACTTTTTTATTGCTCGACTGTTAGGTTCTGTCCCACAAGCTTTATTTGGCCTGGCCTGCAATAAACACAAAATTCCTGAGGCTGGCCCTATAGATACTACGCATTTTAAGTAGTGCGACGGAGACTGAACAATCCCTCAACACCAACGGCCACATCAGGAGCTAACGGCAAGTGAGTGGGGTCAAACTGCCGTGGGGTGGACACGAAATTGTAGAGGGTGACGTGATTGAGTTCCACGCCCACAGGCTCACCTAAAGTGAAGCAGCGGTTGCTGTCCAGGGAATTCATGTCGGCCTCCCCGATGAACAGTGCCACATCAGGAGCCCTGCGCAGAAGAACATGCCAGCAAAATCTATAGCCATCCGCTTACCTACTACGCTTTACTCCTTTTCACTAGGAGCTCAGAACAACTTCACAGTTTACCTGTTGTAGAACTAACACCAATATAGGACAATAATGCACTACTACAAACATAAAAGGTTTGGACATTGTTTGCTTTCAGATTGCACAGTTGAAATGCGGTGACAAGATAAACAAATTAAAATAAAGAAGCTGAAGATTCCTACAATGTTGAAATCACAGCACTGCACCTTTAATGCCACTGGACCCCCCGAAATTATTTTTTATAGTCGTTGCGAACGACTGGAATTGCCCCTACGTATTGCCCTCAAACTTTGAAGCTTGGGAACTGCATGTTTGCAGAAACAAAAATAATTTTAAAAAGCTGGACTTGAACGAAAATCCTTCCGCACAAGTTAGTGATGTAGATGGCAAATGGTGCACTCCTTGCTTCTTTCTGTCGCTCTAAGTAGGAAGTATTCTTTAACTTTCTCTCTTGCCCTCTCATTGATAGTGGGCGTGCGTGCCAGCCTACCTAGAACTTCGTCACCTTCCTTACTATGTAGGCAATGCGTCGCTTTTCATTTCGAGTTTCTATTTTGAGTAATAAACATTTGCAAGCAATTTTTTTTTTTTTTTCAAAGCTAGCGGCATAGTTTATTTGCAGTTGTTTTAAAAAGTTACATTTGATGAATGCAATTCATAAATGCTATAAATAAGCAGCTTCCAAACCTTCTAAATCTCCAAAGAATGAATTCGCCATCTATGTCATTGCAAAAAGAGAAGTGAAGAGGAATTTGGCGTGGAGGGGGACAAGTCTTTTTGCGACCCGTATCTTTGATCAACAAATTTATTCATTGGAATTACTTTCTCTCATACCAAGTTGGGCAAGACTGCTCAGTGGTAAGACCATGCACTCAAGCACCCCTAGAGGAAGGTATACCCGGTTTTACAAAGAACTCGTGGCACCTGAAGAATTTGGCTGGTGCCTGTACTGTAGCACTATACCAAGAACTGGACCAACATTAAGGATGAGTGGTAAACTAGACCTTATTCTGGCTGGTAGTTTTGGCAACAGGATAAACAACCATTTTGAAAGCATTAATAAAAAACTGGAATGTTATTCTTCTTACTTTTTCTTCGAGCAGTTTGTGCCAGCACTCTTCAATAGTTTATCCCCTCATGACAAGAGACCACCTAGCTGTGGAGGTTCAATGTACCAACATCTAGCCATTTAAACAAATTTTACTTCCTGGACTTCCCCATTTGTGAAGCAGGAACTCTCAACACCCGTTAGAGCATGAGGCATTACTGCTGCGATAGACTTATCAAGTTGGTTGTAATACCAGTTGCAAAAATACCAGGACCACAGATACAACAACAAAAGCACTAAGCGGTATTCCCAAAGTGCAAGCACCCAACTGAACCGGCATTGGAAGAAACTGATTACAAATGTTTGGAGCATATGCATACCAGTTATCAAGGAATGGGAAAGTGGTAACTGTGTTTGTGATGACAAAACTGCCCTTAAAGGCCGACGACCAGACTCGAGATTCTGCAAGGCAGAAGATCCTCCTCACCTTGGGGGAGGGGGAAACAAGCAACAGTGGAGAGGATAGAAGGGGGAGAGGAGGAAGCGAGAAAAAAGTGGAAAGTGCGAACTGGTCGTCGGCCTTTAAAGGGGTCATGAAACGCTTTTCCAACTTTTTCCTGTTTCGCTTTCCTCCTCAACTCATAAATCGCGCATTCCACCAAACAGTTAAAGAAGACGAAAAGGGGGAGTCCCCTCTTGCTCGCACGCTTGTTTGTGTAATCCCGGACACATCCATTCTCCCCCTAGAAGATTAGCCCGTCGCTCAAAATTCAGACAAAAGTCGCTTTCCCCACCCCGTTCACCCCGAAGCTGACAGTGCTATTGAAGCTACGTGCTCGTTGGGCCAGCCACACTTGCCACGTGAGCGTGGCAAATGTGGCTGCAGAGAATGAAGTCAGGTTATGAAAGGGAGGCGGCTGATTGGTCCGGCAAGCGCGTAGCTTCCACCACAATGTCAGCTTAGGGGTGAAGGGAATAAGTGAGGTCCGGTTGCGTGTGACGTCAGTTTGGACCCGATAACGCGCTTTTGGGACCGCGGATGTATCACAGTGAAAAGGCAGAGAGGTTGCGAAGGGGAGGAGGTACGAAATAGTCCGCTCTGTTTTCAAATTTTCGCTCTGAAAGTCAGGCTTTTGACTTTCTACCTTTTTTCTTTTGGTTTACTGAACGATGTGCTATTAGTAAAATCCCAATCTAAAATGATTTATCCCAACCCAAAAATCGTTTCATGGGCCCTTTAAGCTTTTTGGGGTCATGCGACTTTTTGCCTCCTCGGTCATTGGGAACAGAATTATTTTAAGCTAAACAAGTGCTGAACAAGCAGGCGAGTTATCAGAAATAAACCTCTGCGCCGACGGCGACACTTGTCGAACACAGCGTCCTGCTGATATTGGGGATCGCAAGAAAGATAGCCTTAATCCTAATTGTCTTTAGGATGAGAGTAGCAGCGGGGTACTGTGGATGATGTTGGATTATTTGATTTGAGCTCCTAGAGCGACATTTTATCTACAAGGTGCAGAACATTGACAGGTGCTCATTGGAAAGCATCATTCTAGCTTTCTAAGTTGCCCCAAGTTGGGGCACACATTTTATGTGTGCTGCAAGTCATAATAACACCAAGAGAGGAGAAGTTAGAGCAGCCATTAGAGAAACCAAGGTTTTGCACAGAAACACATATTTTTCTGGAGGATGTGTAACCCGCAAGCAACAGTGTCTCAAATGCCAATGACGCCTTTGAAGCACACTTGCCTAAAGTAACCGCTTGAGCTCTGTAACTTACAGAAGTAATAGTGGAGAATATAGGGCACACTTTGTATATTTTATATTTTTAAAAATCATAGTATAATTTAATATAGCAGTCAATATTTAAACTTTTTGTTCTCATTTCTGCATCTCAGCATT